CAAAAGACAATCAGCAAAATAATATATTAAATTAAAAATAAACCACGCATTGATTAAAAATTAATGCAATTACTGTAAAGAAAAATGATCTAACAATAAAGAAGTTGTCTTAATTTAACCAAAATCAAAATTCAATTCTCCTTATCCCAGGTAATTAGTTATAATTATTCATTAATGATACTAAACTTGAGTTGTTTTGGTCTAAAAGAGAGCCTAGTAATCAAAAAAAATTAAACAAGTTATGGTGCTAGTTTAGCCTAAAAAATAATGAATTTAGTTTCGATTGATGACATCAAACAAAAATAATTAGCATGCAATCAAAACCAATGATCATAATTAATGCATAAATATGTAGAAGACCAATTAAGCAGATCAGCTGGCGGCGTTGACAATAAATTTGATGATAACAATCTGCATAGTGGTCAACCAAACCACCCATTACTCATATTCAACTTCAATATTGAAATAACTAGCATTCAAAGATAATAAAATATAAGATCAGAAAATGCTAGGAAATTTACTTCCGCATACAAGTCATTAATTTTTTTTTAATTTAAGCCGATAAGAATGTGTCTTCTGTGTTATTGGTATCCTTAACTTTTCATTAAATTGCTTTAACCTTGCCAGAACGTTGCACACGAAATTCTAACAAGGTCATCTGATAGTTACTTTTGGCGAGATGCGCTTTCTCCTGGCAGCCATATCTGTAATCCTAGCTGTCCTTTTGGCTCCGACTCAAGTACAGAGCCTTGATTTTCAGTTCCCAAACTTCGTGAATTCAGAAACATCTCAACTTAATCTGAGTGACAATTCTTCTATAGCCCTTGGCGCCATCCAAGTCACACCAGATGTTAACGGAGCTAGTATGGTAAACAGGTCTGGAAGGGTCACGTACAGATGGCCATTCAGACTGTGGAACAACAAAAAGAAGAAAGCATCTTTCAATACGACTTTTGTACTCAATATCAAAAACATGACAGCTTCAAGTGGTGAAGGCTTGGCCTTTATATTAACAGCAGATCCTGCTGTTCCAGATGGAAGCGAGGGACAATGGCTTGGGATTGTAAATCCTAGGTTAAATGGATCCATTGAAGCCAAGACAGTGGCGGTAGAATTTGACACCAGAAAAAGCTTCCCAGAAGATCTTGATGATAACCATATTGGATTGGATGTAAATAGTGTTTACTCGACAAGATCGGTTTCGTTAAATGACCGAGGTATTTACATTTCTGCGGCCAAAGATATCAAGGTAGTTGTTCAATATGACGGCAAGAATTTGACTGTTTTTGTGGGTGAGGACATGAAGAATCCAGTTCTTTCTGAGCCTCTTGATCTCTCAGCCTATCTTCCAGAAATGGTTTATGTGGGATTTTCTGGATCAACAAGTGACAACACTCAATTAAACTGTGTAAAGTCATGGGAATTCATTGGTGCCGAGATAAAAGATTCCAAGTTGCTGTGGGTTTGGATTTTGACTGCAGTGGGATCAGTACTAATCCTGTTGATTGGTATTGGTATCGCCTTTTTCTTGTACAGGAAAAGGGGATATGAAGAGGACGGGCTGGAGGATGCTTATCCAAATATTGAAGAGGCAATCCTAGGTTGTTCAACTGCTCCGAAGAAGTTCAAATTTAATGAACTTAGCAAATCAACAGGCAAATTCAACCCTAAGAACAAGCTCGGGAAAGGAGGCTTCGGGACAGTCTACAAGGGGATCTTGGGAAACAAGGAAGTTGCTGTCAAAAGAGTCTCAAAGAAATCAACCCAAGGTAAGCAAGAATTTATTGCAGAAGTCACTACAATAGGCAACCTCCATCACCGAAATCTTGTTAAGTTGATAGGATGGTGCCATGAAAGGCGTGAGTACCTCTTGGTTTACGAATACTTGCCTAATGGAAGCCTGGATAAATACATATTTAGGGATCAAAATTCAGGCACGCAGGAAGCTACACTGAGCTGGGGAAAAAGGCTGATTGTGATTTCCGGAGTGGCACAGGCATTGGATTATCTGCATAATGGATGCATGAAGAGGGTGCTTCACCGAGACATAAAGGCCAGTAACATAATGTTGGATTTAGATTTCAATGCGAAACTGGGAGATTTCGGCTTAGCTCGCACCATTATTCAAAATGACCAAACTCACCACTCAACAAAAGAGCTTGCAGGAACACCTGGCTACATGGCTCCGGAGAGTATTCTTACAGGAAGGGCAACGGTCGAAACAGATGTTTATGCTTTTGGTGTTCTTATTCTGGAAGTTGCATGTGGAAGGAAGCCTGGGGGGCAAACTGAGAGGGATGGCTACATTTGTAACATTGTGCATGGGCTATGGGAACTTTACAGAACGGGAAAAATCCTCGAAGGTGCAGATCCCAGATTGGATGGAATATTCAAAACGAAAGAAATGGAGTGTGTGCTTATTCTGGGGTTGGCTTGCTGCCATCCAAACCCAAACAGCAGGCCCTCCATGAAAACGGTTTTGCAGGTTCTTACAGGGGAAGCACCACCACCAGAAGTGCCAGCTGAAAGGCCGGTTTTTATGTGGCCACCCACGCCTCTATCCTTCAAAGAATGGGACAACTCTCTCGTTGGAGGCCAACTCTCTCCATTTTCAGAACTGTCTGGGAGATGAATCAAAACCAAAGGTTCAAAGCAAAGTGTCTTTCATCCATCAGTATGATTTGGTTTTGTAGTAAGTAGATATATCTAGCCATAACGTTGTTGTAGTTGTTAAAAAATAGTTAACACTTCAATAAATTTATATTTTGGTTCGTCAAATCATGTACATAGTGGTGGAAAACTAGCTGCAGGCTCGTGAGAATTCCTATGTTTCCTGAATTGTAAAACCAGTTGGCCAACTATGGTTTATCTAGGTGGTCGGTATAATGCTTGTAATTTGTAAATGCTATTGGTTTATTTTTTAAAGAAATTTTCTTTGATTACTTTGAAATAGAAAGCTGATTATCTTGTTGAAGTCTGTTCTGGATATGTTTAACCATTATCACATTCTTGATTTTAATTAGTAACAGCCAATATGCAATTTTAACTAGTGGATTTTCTGTGAGTATAATTATTGGATTTTTCTTTTTCTTTTTTTTTCTTGCTTGATTTTGGGAGGTTATTGACGAGATAGGACAATGAGTGAAGAGTTCTGATTTTCTGTGTATAAGAAAGTTCGGTTACATTTCATACGGTAGAAAAATCAAAGAACCAAACCAACTGAATTAACAAAAAAAAAAAGAACCTGTTAGTTGAGTTTAGTTCATTCCAGTTGTTTAAATTAACTTCAAGCAATTTTTGGTTCAGATTGAATTTTATAACAAAAAATTTCAGAAAACTTAAAACCTCATTAGTCAGACCCAGCTGGCCTGCTCACCTCTATTGAAAGAACATGAACAAAAGCTTTAGGGAAAAAACAGTTTAATTTGCCGATGAGCAAACCATTTCAGTGCCTAAAACTTATACTAATCTGGGAGGAGGCGTTGACTGATGACTCCCCTCAGCCCCATTTCACTGTCAAAGGATACTGATTTGAGATGGTACCTGTTACTACAAGGCAGTCAATATTATAGACTCTTGGTAATGAAAATGCCTAAAGAGTAAAAATCATCAGAGATTCATCGTTCTACGGGTAATACAATTCTTTGTCATGGCAAACAATAATAAGAATACTGGAAGATTGACTTCAATGTAAAGCTGTTTTGGAGAACATAGCAAGAAAGAAGACCAAAAATGTAGAAAATGAACCTCAACCATAATTGGTCTGCACTGTCAGATATCACACCTGCCCTGGAATATACAAACTTGGATACATAAAGAAGAAAGCAACTGGAAAGCAAGTAAGAACGTGCACAGGAAACTAAACACAATGAAGGGAATGAGAGAAAGAAACCTGTCGATGAAATCCGCAAGAACATGCAGGAAAACTGAATAATAATAATCCCTAATCTTCTCTTTTCTGTAAACTCCGTGTATTATGTTAGGAAAGAGAGGAATGCGAATACAAAATACTGGAAAAAGCTACAGATTGGAGGCTATTCAAGATTCAAAGTTTTCTGACAAATGTCGTTACAGGAATTTTGTTGATGGTTAGTTGTTCACGATTGTTTGTCTTCATTATTTTTGCAGATTGCATGTCTGTGAGCAGGAGCTTTTCGGGCTAAGTTGTTAATTTGTTCGATAATGAAAACAACTTTCATTCATTAAGAAAACAAAAGGAGAGATCAAGAAGTTGATTGTTTTGGTCACTTTTTGGCTTGTGCGAGTTCCGGGATTCAGCCTGTAGAATATACCAAAAGGCAGACATTCGGCAAAGTTCTAAACTAAGCTCTCGCTACACCAAAATAGGGCATTGTAGGTGTTTTTTTAATCCTGCGCCCATAATTGTAGCAGTGGTTATATAAACAACGTTGAGACATACGTAATGCCGCTGTCTCTAAATTATAGTCACGGTTTTTTCAACTGTTTCAAAATTTTAAAATGGTTATTTGATAGCGGTTAAATTACTGTAAAATAATTTTTTAAGATGGTCAAAACAGTCGGAGATGCTGCATTATAAAAGATTCAAGAATTAAGAGATGTAAAAAATAAAATAAATAAATAAATACAAGAAGAACTTTAAGAAGAACAGAAAACTAAACGGAAGTTTTACGCTATCAACCCGATTAACTTAAGGTCGTTTATTCTCCAACTGAGGAGAAACTTATCCCATGCAAGCAAATATACGTTAACAGAAAACACCATAACACGTGGCTTGCAGACATAGGAGAATATCATCCAACAAAACAAATGTAAGTCGAATTGCAGCACCAAAATGAGAACGAAATTCTCTTATCTGTATTCTGTACTTCAAAAAACACACACCAACCTCTACTGAGTTAACGCGGGTTCGGACGTCGCTTTGGACCACCAACCAAACACAACCATACATGCTTGCTAAACAATTCTCACCAAACCTCACCATTTTTGTAACAAAGAAAAGAAATTGGTGACTTTTTTCGATGCTAAAAGCAATACAGAATTTAGGTTCATCACCAACAACTGCAACAGGGTTTGTGGCTTATTATTATAGATTGAAACCACGACATGCCACTAAAACTAGTGCTTTTGTCTCAATCTCCGCCACCCCATTGTCCTATTCTACTCCAAGAGCCAGACCCAGAAAGCCGTTTCTATTGTTGACTCGAAAGACTCGGTCTTTGGGACCTGTTCGTGCTCACTCAACTCGGTCTGAGTCCAAGATGGATGGCACTTCTTCTTCCTCATCAGTTTCTGTTCAGTCAACTGTGAGTTTCTTTTATTTGAGTTCCTTTTCCGTTTTGTTGAAATGATGATACTGTTTTGAATTTGTAGATAAATTGGACAATTAGTTCTTATGAAGATTGGGCTGTTGGGGTTTATGATTTTCATTTTTTCTTGATTATGTTCTAAAATGTTGTCTCTTTCTTATGGGATGCATTTGTTCTTTTTAGTTTGCCTTCATTGTTCTGGAATTCGATGATGTTTTGCTTGGTTTTATTTGTTGTAAATGTTGAGTTGCTTACTCGTTCAAAGCATATTCGAAAAAAGGAGGAGCCATATAACTTGGCTACGGTATTGTATTCTTCTTTGAACATCCTCGTATTGTATTCTTATCAAGTTTCTTAACCAGATTTTAGAAAGAGATGTTGTGAATTAGTTTAATTTGATCAGTGTATCAATGATTATTGATGCCAGTGGTTTTTGCTCTATCTCTTAGTCAAGACACTTGCATTCACATAATCCTGTACCGTGCTTGTATTAGTTTTCTTGTCCAATAACCCCAACATTGTTCTTTGCTCATGGAATCTGTTTCCAGGGGAGTGCTCGCAAGATCAATTTCTGTCAGTGGTGTGGTGGCCAGACAAAACATGATATACCTGATGGGGAGGAAAAGATGAGGGCTATTTGTACAGTTTGTGGGAAAATTACCTATCAAAACCCTAAAATGGTATGGTCATTCATTATTACAATCCAACTTGTCATGTATGTTTCTGTTGTCTTGTCCGGTTGCACGTGGCTTCTGAAATTGCAGAGGAAAAATTACTCATTTGCATATCATGGTGGACATTTCTTCTAAAATTGATTTTAGCATCTTGGCTCTGACCACAGCTGGTCAGGTATTTCCATTTAATGTAATGTACATGAGCTAGCTAGCTTGAATTATTCTTTTCAAAACAGTTAAAATTTCAATCATAAATCAGCATCATGATTATGTATCAAAGAGATGTGATACTACAAAAGGATTGACATGACTTAGATGTTGGACAAAGTGACAATGCAATCTTGGGAGAACTTTTGGTGGACTGGAGATTATATGCAAACGGGTTTTTAGGGAGCATAAGTTGTTGAACTCTGAGTCATAAAATAGTGGAATTGTGTGCAGATTATTACAATCTTCTGGTTGGTTTAATGAGGACTCTAAATAAGGAAAGCATTGTAGGCATTAAGTGGAAAACCTTGCAATGCATGCTTCCATTCTATCCCTGTTAAGAAATGATTTAAACTTGTTTCATTAGTGCAGTATATGTTCTTGGTTTTCTCTCCAGTTTTTTTGATACTGCACATTCTATAAATAATTGCTCTGTTTTAAAGGTAATGGAATTATTGTTATATTTTGTAAATTGGTTTGAATAGGTGGTGGGATGCCTCATTGAGCATGATAACAAGGTCCTACTCTGCAAGCGAAACATCCAACCATCATATGGCCTCTGGTATGCATCTGAAATTGGAATTTTGGTACCAAATGGAACCACTGCATACTTTCTCTAAATAAAAACTCTCAAGTAGTAGTTAAAACGAAAAAATGCATTTACTCCATATGGTACTTGGTCCTTTCTGCTTTCCATTTTAACTACTACTCATATTTTCACTATCCTTGATAGATAACCCAGATAATTGGATTGTTCTGAAATAGGACCCTTCCTGCTGGTTACTTGGAAATTGGTGAGTCTGCTGCAGAAGGGGCAATCAGGGAAACCTGGGAGGAAGCACGTGCAGAAGTGGAAGTTGTGTCACCTTTTGCTCAATTGGACATCCCTCTTATTGGCCAAGTAAGGGAAAGATGCCCCTCATTTGTCATATTGATTTTCTGTGAACTTGCTTTAAGTTTCTAAGATTGTTGTTGTTGTTTGGAGCAGACTTACATAATTTTCTTGGCAAAGTTGAAGAAGCCCCACTTTTCACCTGGTCCAGAGTCATTGGAGTGTCGACTTTTTTCACTGGATGATATACCTTTTGATTCTTTGGCATTTTCTTCAATGGTGGTTACTTTGAAGTTGGTAATAACCTGTTCTAGCAATAACACAGTTTCTTCTTGCACTTTCTTTTGTTGCTCGTGTATCTAATATCCTGTCGTTGCAGTACATAGAGGATAATAAAGCTGGAAGCCGAAAATTTCACTATGGAACAATTAACAAAAGGTACTTTAAGATGCATTTTTTGCATTAGAAGCTTAAGTGAAACTCCTGTGAGAAAGGATAATCCACTTCTGATCTGAAACCAGACAGCTTTGGGTTGCAATGGGAGCTAGGGGGATTGTCTATTGTCTCAACCTTGTGTTTTATGTTGCAGCTGGTATTAGTTCCAGAGGTGTTTGTTATGGATTTGATAATTATGATGGTGGTGGTGGTATAGTAGGCAGGACCTTTTATGATGCTTGAAAGAACAGGGAACATTGAATAACAGAACAACTCTTTTCTTTCTGCTGCCAATCTTTAGCCTGGGAACAAGGCTGAATTTTACATGATTGACTTTTTCTTAGCAAAACCAGTTACCTCCAAAAGATCATATGTTAATATAAATATGTAAATAGAAACAAGCAAAATCCTATGTCTGTGCTTTTCTTTTCAGTTTGCTGTAATTCATACTATTCACTACCTACACTTTTTCTGGTACCTCATATTTGAAGGCAGTGTTTGAATGGGGCGGTAGGTTTTCTGTTGCATTTGCTGGCTGTGGCTTTCAGGAGGTGGGATTTACTATGTTTTGACTGTTCAATTCTTTTTCATGACATTCTTTATTGTTCAGTATTCTTAAGAATTTTTTTTTTTTTAAACTCACGCACCCAAGGCTCTTAGCAGAACTAGTCTATTAGGATTTGAATCCGTGACAAATCCCTGTGACCTCTTGTTGCAAGAGACCATTACCATTGGGCTACAAGCTCTTTGGTACTCTTAAGTGTTAGTTCTTTCTTTGTAGAATTCTTACTTGTTAAGCTTACTAGTTAGTTATTGTTCATGCCCATGTTTGTTCAAGTCTTTTCTGATGCTTCTTTGCAGGCCTGGTTCGAGCCCTTCTGATACCCATGCCTATACTCTTGATCATCATTTGCAGTCTTGAGAAATGAGGATCCGTTTTCCTTTTCACATGAGGTGATTAACAGATTGGAGAATGAATTGTCTGGTATCTGGGATTGACATTCTTTGATTTTTCAAAATCCATGGGGAAGCTGAGGACGTGATGGAAATAGCGATTTGATGCATTGAAGCCATCCACTAATGACCGGCTGTATTCTGTAAAGACTTAAAGAGTGCCTGGAAGAGGCCATTTTCTCCGAGAAGCCATTTCGTTTGTAATTGTACAACTTGTGCTTGATTGTTAGCTACAGCCTACATTCCCTCCAAAATGTACAGAAATTTACTTTACTCTTGTGCATTGAATAAAACCTTGTAAGCAAGGCTTCCTCTGAGTTCTCATCTTCAACTGTTGCCTGTTTGAAAATTGTTATCTATCATCCTCAACTTTCTCTGGAATGGAGCTTGCTTCTGGCTCAAAGTTCCCGCAGCTGTAGTTGATGATGCCACAACATTGCCTTACACTATGATGTCTTCCTGATTATTGTTGAGGACATCAATATTCCTCGTTCGAGTAAATAATAAATTAGTCCCTTTAGTTTTGATAAACAAATTAATTAGTGCCTCTTCTTTTAATTATTTTTGCCTATTTTATGTTCTTTTTTAATTAGTTTTTTTAAAAAATAGATATAATGGAAAAAGCGGATAAAGAAAGCATTTTTTGGAATAAAAATAATATTTTAAATTAAGTGTGGTTAATACTTGTTAAAAAATTAAATAATTAATTTTTAAAACAGGAGGGATTAATTAAAAAAAATTCAAAACTAGAAGGGATTAATTTATAATTTACTCTTCTTCATTCCGACCTTTCATAAAATAAAATAAAAATATATTAAAAAAAGTTTTATCATCGATTTTAAAGATTATCTAGAAAAAAAAATCCAATTTTATGTGCCCATCCCACCCTGATTTTATCATCATTGCCAAAGATTGCAGATTATCCACCATGAGCAATGCTAATTTTTTATTTTATGGGAAGATTGTTATCAAATAACATCTGAAAAAATCAAATGCGCTGATTCCATTGATTGATTAAGCTTCTTAAAATTCACACAACTCGTCAAGTTTCTGAAAAAAAAAGGATACTATTAATAGAAAAAGATTTTTTTGACAGCATTAACATTATCCATCATCAACTCTCTCTCTTCTTTTTCTTTTCTTTTTTTTTTTTTTTTAATCTAAAACGAAAAAATTATCTCCCGTTAATCATAAATCAGACCAGTAAAAAAACTTAACCATAAATGATTAGAGATGCTAAAAATTGCACTGACTTCTCTCTTAAAAAAAAAAATATATATATATATATATATATATATATATATATATATATATTATAAAAATAATTTATAAGTGCATGTTTTTGTGACAGTATAATTCCTGATATATTGCGTAATTTTTCAAAATCTATATAGACATGTGATGGATGAAATTACAATTAAATCTGAGAATAATTGCATTCTTCTCTCACAGAAACATAAAACTCATTATAAAAACTAATTAACCGGCTCTATGTTTTTGTGGAAGAAAAGAGTTCAGTCCTAAATAATTTCTGTTGGAGTAGTCTCATTACATATTAAAAATAAATATATAATTGTACTACAAGAATATTAATTTTTAATTTTTTAATTAAATATATATGAATTTTAATTTTTTTATTTAAATATATTAATGTTTTAAACTAGTATTTTTATTAATATCAGACGATATTTTTGTTACTTTGACAATATCAAATTATAATTTTACTTTATTTTTCAATCGAATATATAAATTTTAAATTTTTTTATTTGAATATAATACAAGTTTTTTTTAAAAAAAATTATCAATCAAATATTTAAATATTAAATTACAATTTTTTTCAAAAATTATTAAATTTCTCAGAAATTGTACTCTAAAAATACTAAACCTACTATAAAAATAATTTATAAATCACATATTTTTGCGAGACAGACACCATCCCGTGGACTGACTAATTCCTTGCCATGATTGATACTAATTAAATTGATTCCACTGTCTGATCAAACGACTTACAATTACTCCCCCAACAGAAGTCAAACTCTGTTTACTTAGACTAGCGTAGTCTCCTCTCCCATCTCTCTCCCAATTCGATAAAAATCAATTTCCTCATTGGCCTTTTATCAATCACCAATTGAATTATTAGGGTTTTTTTTTCTTTTCAAAAGCAAACTTTGATCCTTCTGAATTCGAACCAAAACTGCAACATTTTTAACGTCTGATTTTGCAGTTTCATGTCTTTGATGGTTGATCCATGAAATTCACTGACTTGAGTTATAAATAAATAAATAAATAAATTATCAGATTCTACTCCCAAATTAGGGTTTTGTTAGAGCCCTCCTATTCTTTTCCCAAAATGGAGACGCCACGAAATCCAGATAAAGTTGATTTTGGATTGGGTACAAGCGATCGCAGGCACGCTTATTGGCGTCAATCTTCTTTCCACAAACAATCGCGAGAACCCAAAACCCCAATTTCTATCATCACGAATGAAGCAACAAAGCCTTTGCTTGCACGCACTGTATCAAGCATTGACATACCGCCGGATGTTCAATATTCTTTTGATGATTCAAACGACACCATTTCCGAGGACCCAAAGAGGAAGTTATCGGATTTGGATTCTGTGCTTTCGATGTTTAGGGTTATTAGGTCTGGGAATAGACAAATGAGGAGGCTTTTCTTGATGATTTCGCTTAATGTTGCGTATTCTACTGTTGAATTGGCGATTGGACTCTTTACGGGTCGAGTTGGTGGGGAATTGAATCATTTTCTGGGTTTTTATTGGTCGTGTGTAGGGTTTTTTTGAAGTAAAGTTTGATTCTTTTTGTGGATTTCTGGTGCAGGGTTGGTATCTGATGCGTTTCATTTGACATTTGGGTGTGGGCTATTAACGTTTTCGTTGTTTGCCATGGCTGCGTCTAGGAGGAAGTCTGATCACGCCTACACTTATGGGTCGGTTTTCTATTTGTCTGTAGTTATGTTTGAGAATTTATTTGATATTGATCGATGGTTTCTCTTTAAGGGAACTGATTTTCATTGCTAAATGCCTTTTCCAGGTACAAAAGGCTTGAAGTCCTGGCTGCTTTCACTAATGCTGTAAGTAGTATGCAACATTTCTTTTACACATTGATTCTGTGTTATTATGGTCGACATGGAATGAGATGTGGCATTATTTGTTCTATAGCATTAGGTTTTGTTGCTTATTTTGTGCTATTGAAGATATGATTATTCCGACTGCTCTTGTTTATGTATAATGATAAGTGTCTTAAAAGTTCTCTTTAGTTGGATAAGGCTTTAGTCTGCTTGGGGGTTGACACATAGGGGGTGTGGTGCGTATTGAAGAGTTATGGCTGGTATGAAAACATTAAGATGTTTAATATAGAGATATATAGGCTAAAATCTTAAAAATGCATTCAGCCCTTGATGTTTGATTTGCTCTTGACTAGGCGGATTGAGACCTAAGCCTTGGCTCAGGTAGATTAGGAAGAGGGTTGGGTTTTACATTTGATATTCCCCAAATGAAAGAAAGTATGTAAAGTTTTGCTTCCCAGTGTTATGACTTTTTACCTGCTGTGGATTTTTCTCTGGCACTGAAGGAATATATCAAGAATTACTCTTGTGTTCCGGCTGTTTTGTTTGCATGGGTTTCATTTAATTCCTTTGTGATATCAATTAGCTTCGTTTCTTTGTGCTAACATCTAGATATTCTTGATTTTGCTGCATGTGTAGACAGCTGTTTCTTTTGTTCATGTCATTCTCGTTAGCTGTGGAAGCACTTCATGCATTCATCCAAGATGAATCTGAGCACAAGTAAGTTGGTTGTGCTGATCTTGAGCGCTGTAAACCATTCCTAATATGCTGGATCCTGCATCATTGATAGCATATGCTTGCCAAAAGATGATTACTGTATCTGTGGTGTACTCTTTGGCTTATTTTCTTATGGTTCTTCTTTTACATGGAGATAATAACCTTTTTTTAACTGATGAAAACATCATTACAGGCATTACTTGATTGTTTCTGCGGTGACAAATTTACTGGTGAATCTTATTGGCGTTTGGTTCTTCAGGAATTATGCTCGCATTAATATTGGTAAGTCTTTTACTGCAGCTTATATGTATCAGGAAGCCATTTTATTTGAACTTTAACCCATATGAAAGGGCTCACGTCTACTAGAGTACTAGTGTTTATTTGATTAGGCGCTTAATTGTTTGAAAGGAGTGACATTCTGTGAAACATGGTGATTTTCCAACTTGATCCTTGATAGGAATCTCGTGCATTGGGTTATAATGATTGTCAATATTACAGACCATAGCTTCGGTGGTTTCTATTGGAGTATATGGTATTTTCCTTCACTTTTGGATTATCTTGCATTTGTGTTTGCTTGCAGTCTACAGAAAAGCAGAAGATATGAATTTTCATTCAGTTTGCTTGCATGTTATTGCAGATTCAATTCGCAGGTATGCTCTCTCTGTGTGTGTGCTTATTTCCCTTTGAAAAGCATATTCGTTTTCTAATTTCTTGCTTTCTTCATATATCCATGATAAGCTGATGTATTCTTATTGTTTCTCAGTGCAGGTTTGATATTGGCATCCTGGTTTTTGTCCCTTGGGTATTTTGCTTCATCTTTGTTTTTCACTGCAATTGTGCAACCTCTCCCAAGGAGGATTTTCCTTGTTTACCTCTTTTGATTCTTCTGTTTTTCATTTCTTTTCCTCACATTACAGGGTTGACAATGCTGAAGTTATATGTTTGGGGATTGTTTCTGCTGCAGTCCTTATGCTTGTCCTGCCGCTCTTTAAAGCCACTGGTGGCATCTTGCTTCAAATGGCACCACCTAGCATTCCACCTTCAGCATTGAGCAAATGCTTGAGACAGGTAAACTCCCATATACGCTTTCGGTAATTTGCTGTGATCCAAATATGTGAATTTTTCATATAAAAAGGATGTGTTTTAACATTTGAATAGCTGATTCATAAATAATACTTTATGGTTGAATTTATCTATCATTATCTATATAATTTTCTTTTCTGGTTAGGTTATTGCTCGTGAAGATGTTACTGAAGTTTCTGAAGCTCGTTTCTGGGAATTGGTGCCTGGTCATGTTGTTGGTTCAATTTCACTTCAGGTACATCACTGAAAGTTTGGCTTATTTGCTGTCTTTGTTGAGGCAGCAGATGGTGTCTTTGTTAGACTTTTAAGTTTTGCTTTCTGCTTGGTGAAAGACTGGTAACCAAATTTTGTTTCATGGATGACACTAATAGGTGAAGGAGGGGGTGGATGATCACTTGATTCTACAATATGTACATGGTTTGTACCATGATCTGGGAATACAGGATCTGACAGTGCAGACCAATTATGATTGAAGTTCATTTTCTATATTTTGGTTTTCTTTTTTTGTTCTCAAGAACAGCTTTGGATCGAATTCCATCTTTTGGGATTCATTATTATTCTTTGTCATTTGAAACAATTGTATTACTCATAGAGGGGGATTTTGAATCTATAGTCCCCATATAGAACAACGAATTTGTGCAAAATAATTCTCCATCATAGTTACTGTTAATTTTTCATCTTTATATTTAGTTCCGTTACCCGTTTTCATTATTGACTGCCTTGTTTGTAGTAACAGGTATCATTTCAATCTCCTTTGATAATCATCACATGTTCACTGGCAAATCAGTAAAATGAATGCCCACCGGATAGAAACTGGTTGGGATTGTGGGGAGTATCAGTCAATGTCCCTCCCAAGTCAGTTTTAAGCACAGAAATGTTTTGTTTAGTGGCATATTAGCTTTTGCTCATAATTTGTCCATAGGGGTGTTCGCAAGGTCAGCTCGGTCTTGTTAATGAAAATTCTAAAAAATATATTTCAGTTCTGGAATTTTTGTTATAAAAAAGAGATTTAAACTGAATTAAATGTTTAAAACAAACAAGATGAATTGAATTCAACTTGAAGGTTCAGTTTGTGTTCAGTTAATTCAGTTTTTCTTAATTTGTTCCCCCACTTTGTGATTGCTGAAGACTATTATTTGTTCTGGCTCTACTGATGCAACGCTGGGGATACGGAATAGGAGGAGGGGCAAGGCTATTCGTGTTGTAAGAGGTATGCGTTTAGGGTTTTTGCTTTGCTCATTCATATTATGCAGTTTCACTCAAAGTCTATGTGATTGTTGTGGACATGTTATCACAACAAACATGACTGCTCCTGGCCCTTTTATTTTAGCATTTTTCTTTTTCTTTCCCTTCTTTTCTTGGGTGGAGGGGGTAGATTTCACGGCCTGCGGGAAGCCGTAATTGACCAACCTATCTGTTGGGCAGTGAATTTCGCCGTTGGGTTCACCTTAGCTTCACATTTCTTACGCTGTTGCCAAGCCAGGAATAAGGGCCTCAAGGTTGTCTAGATATGACCGGTAACAGGGGGTGCACCCTACCTGCTTGCTGATTAACAAACTGCAAAGCTTGCTTACTGATCGCCTCTTTCAGATTTGGCCTTTTTGGCATCTAACATACTTCCATAACCTCAACCAAGAAACATTGAAAACCTGATTTATTTTTAAATTGGATGGAAGCTCAACCACTGAACCAAGTATAGCATTTGAGCTTATTTTCTTCAGCACTTTGGAAATCTCTCTGACTTCATGTGCACAATGACCAAGTCACCCTCTTCAACTCCTTGACAAAATGGTGCAGATTTGTTGTTTGCCTTCAAGGTAGCCGCCTCTGACTCCCCACAAAATTGCTGAATATGATCTGTAAAAGCCTTTCCATCATCACTCTCTCTCGAGTTCCAAGTGGTGAAGGGAATAGAACAAGCACATGCTGAAGCTTGAGTCTGTAGACCAGCTTTAAAAGGCACATCCTTGATTGCTCTAATCATTGAATTGTTATATAGAAACTCAGCTTGAGTAATTACAAGATGCCATTTCTTCATAGGATTTCCAACAGGACATCTCAACCTATTCACTAAACTCTAGCTAACTACCCCAATTTGCGCATCTGTTTGTGGATGGCAAGTACTGGATTATTTGGACCTGATTCTCATTTTCTCCAAAAGTGCCATACAAATTTAACTCAGTTGCTCACCTTACCGCAGAAATGGAATGTGCTTGAAACATACTATGTCTTCTCCAATCCTCCTCTTCTCAGCCATTGGTTGTCATTACTATTGAACCACCAAAACTCCCCTTGAAATGATGGACATTCATTTATCCATTCTCTTGCAAACAAGCATCATGAATTGGCTCCAGCTCATCAAATTCTTAACCTTCCAGCTCTACCAGATTCACACTATGCTCCAGATATGCGCAAGAACTATGGCCCTCTTCCCCTCACAAGTGAAGCAACTAATTCATGAGTTGCTGCCTACTTTATAGTAGCTGAAGTACTTATTGCTTACAAGACCTATGCAACCTTTATTGCTCCAATCAAATTTACTCGAACTTCCTCTACTAGATCAGGCAGTTGCATAAGTTTCTCGCCACAACAATACCTGCTAGAACTATCACCTTTCATGTGCCCTTACCAGATACCCTTAGCCTTCCGGCTTGGAGCACGATGGGTGAATTTTGGTTTATTTTCTACTGGGATTTTATTTTTGATTTAAAGCTCAGTACTTTCAGTCCACGACTCGAAGAACTTTCTTCATTCAATTGAAGTCGTTATTCTTTAACAGAGCCTTTGTTTCTCTCATCCTACTATTAGAGTAGGTTTTTCTTTATGTTTATTACTATTTTAAAATGATTGACTGTCCCATCTTGTTAGTGGCCAGTTAATGTATAGACCAAAGCTTGTCGAACATGCAAGTTTAAATTTCAGTTAGCTGGATTTGGTCAGGAATTAACTCTGTTCCCAATATGCTGAATACCATACGAGAGGCAGAGGAAAAATTCTACAAATGTGAAGGTTTAGATGTGGCTAAGAATCGAAGCTGAATGCTTCTATTCTACATTTGTGTTAATTTATTTAAATTGCTTAATCAATCTAGAACCATAACTAAATGGAGTCTTGTTAGCAATTCCTTGACACATTTATCATCTTTGATTACCTTCTTTCCATGCAAATTGTCTTTGGAGTATCTGAGCCTATGGAATTCTCTGTCAAGTGATCTAATGTTTAAGACTAATTTGTGTTCCTTGTCTTTGTAGGCCATTCGTACCACACCGATGGATTAACATGTTTGGCAATGGGCTCTGGTTCAGGATCAACAGTTGCTCCTACTGGTGCAGAGAATGGTTCTATCAACATTGTAAATATAGCAACCGGGAAGGTTAGTGCTTTTGTGCATTACTGTTTCTTCTTCTTCTTATTTTCTTCATTCTGCTTGTGAGATAATAACAATATTTTTCTTCTTTCAACCTTCTAGTAGATCATTTTCTTGAATGAATTGTTTTCGGTAAATTAAACTGACAATGAGCTATGTGTTATTATATCAGCAAGGCACCGAATTTCATAGCTATCTTTTACCTATAAACACTGGGTATTTGTGCGGAGAAATGTGCAACCTCGTAACTAATTTGGTCCTTTTTCGTTCTTTTTATTGTTGTTTTCATTGGCTTGGTCTTTGGTTGAGTTTGCACTTCATACACTCAAGACTTCATAGCTCAAAGTTGGAAGGCCTATTTACCCTCACTCGTAACTTATTTTCTGATTTGTGGCTTTCAATTAATTTGAAATAGCTCATTTCTTGCTTAGAATTAAGTTGAGTTTAGATTACAGTTAAAGGTAGAATGAAGAAGAAAAAAAAAGTTCATGAAAAGTAAACCTGAGGTTAAAGATAGAATAGGTAATCACCAGTGTTCTTCTATTCCATGTTGGATTTTATGTTTGGATAGGTGAGGAAATTAGATGATTTTTTTTTCTTTTTTTTTTTTTTTACTTCTGCTCTATCCTTTTCAAATTCTCCAGGTCTATTTTCCTACAAGAAATTGGAGTTCGAATTCAAAATTTCACATTGGGAGCTGTTGGTCTTTTTGTATTATGTGATTATGAGAATTTTGGTCAACGTAGCTAGATATTTTCTCTAGGCAGCACTTAAAACAAACTTCAGTGTTGTCTACAGGTGGTTAATTCTGTGCATGCTCACTCATATTCAGTCACCTGTATTGGGGTTGCACGAAGGTATAATGAAATATTCTTGGCTCTTTCCTCTTAAGCAGAGAGTTTTTCATCGATGCTGTTTATATCTGTTATACATGAGAGGGAAATGAATTGCTTAAGGGTAGCTAGCATTCGGTGGCTCAGGGGATAGAGATATTCATCACTATGGTAGATGAAAGAGAAGAGTGTTTATTTACTTAATACGATGAAACAACATTATGTGTGGCAGTGCTCCTTGGCTTGCAACTGGAGGTGCAGGTAATAAGCTCATTATCTGGGATCTGCGGCAATTATGATCCAATAGCAGTAACTGGGAACTGCGTCAGCATTCATGGTTTCACAGCATTTGGGACCGTGAGGTGTGTCAAATTTTTACAACTTAAGTGGTAACGATTCTCTTTCTACCAGTAGATGCTAGCCTCCTATTAAGTATTGAAGTTATGCAAGTTTGATTTGGTCCCAGGACCGTGGTCTAATAAAAAGAGCTACTCTCTTTTATGCAGGTTGAAGTGACATATATGCTTAACATGGCTAGGTGCATCGAGGTACTTGGCTACTGGATGCAGTGATGGGGAAATACTTAAAATGGGATAGCAGTAGAGGTGAATATCTTGCAAGAACCCTCCATGGGCACTGCAGCTGCAGGAGCATCCATTCATTATGAGTGTCATCGTATCCGGGCTTTCTTGTTTCAGTTTCATTTGATGGTACTGCAAGAGTGTTTGTGATTTCTGAATTTAGGTAGGCTGAGTTCAAGTACTTGAACGTGCAATGGAGGAGCGCAAGGTTTACGAAAGTGTTCTATAACAAGCTCAGAGAAAGGTAGGTATTCATTTTGTTGATTTCTAGGGTACTTTTCATGTGAAGTAGGCGCTCTGTTGCTGACGCAACGTTTGTCGAGGTTTAGGTGTTGAAAAAGTTGGTTTTACCCCTGCCAATGTTTGTAAGACCTTCTTCCTTTTATATATATATATATATATATCAGTATAAAAAAAATTATATTTAAATTATTAATTGATTCTTCTAAAACATTATCTCAATTATTTTATTTAAAAATAATAATTTTAAAATATAAGAAATAATAACATTGGTTGATGTTATGAATGTAGATGCATAGTTAATTTCTAATAAAATTAATAACTCTAATATATATATATCATGACTATACTTATTGTGTCAAAGTGTGTAGCATAAATTGATTTATTTTTAAAAAAATAAGTTGTAAAAAATATATTGAAGTTAGTAGAGTGTAATAAAACAAAACAACAAAATTGATTTTGAAAAAAATTGATTATATAAAAATAAAATAAAACACATGAATTCTATTTTTAAAATTTGATTATATAACAAGCAAAAAAAATAACTAAAAATTATTCAAAAATCCATACATAAGAGAAAATAAATCATACTTATTAACAAATAAAAGTACATAAAAAAGAATAAAAAATTAATCCGATGAGAAGTTTTATAAGAAACGAGTAAATTGAAAAGATCAATTTTGAACAATAAAAATAATATAATCTGATATGTATATTTATTCTAAAATCTAAAAACATATCATATATATTTTATAACCGTCGACTTGTGTGAAAAAAATAATAATTGATTTTTCATAATCTTCACACCCAATTCAATAATTAAAAAATAAATAAATAGGAGAAAAAACAAAGGAAAAAAAGGATAAAAATAACATTTTTTTAATGATTTTCACACCTAATTCAATGATAATAAAAAATATATATATATAAATTGATGGGAAAAAAACAAAGAAAAAAAAAAAAAAAGGGAGCCAAGCATGTGTGCCTGCCTTCGGCCTGCTGTAGGCCCAATGCAGTAGCTTAGATGATGAAACAGCTCACGGATTAAAATGTAATTTGAAAACTTTAAAGATTAAAATAAAAATTTATGTAAACTTCGAATATAAATGTCTAAGAACAATTGAAAAATCTCAAAATGCTATACTTATCTATAGTTAATGAATAGTGAATTGTGAGTTGATAAACAATAAAAATTCTTCAAAACTTTCACAAAAGAAAAGGAAAAAGAGAGATTATGGGATCATAATTCACCAATGACATACACTTAATATTAAAAGAAACTAAAAAGTATGAGATTTTTAAATATTAATTTTCACTGTTTAATTACTCATAATTTACTGTTCATAAACTGTAAATAAGTGTGGTATTTTTGTGATTTTTTAACTATTTTTAGACGTTTATATTTGAAGTTTACATAAATTTTCATTTTGGCTTTTATGAACATTGATCATCACAAGCTAATAATAGCAAAGACTGTGCTCCCCACCTTCCAATCTAATCTCCAAATATTATGTCTATTTATTCTTTTAATTAATATACTCAAACTTCACATTACGTGGCAGATGTTTAAACATACGAGGACATGGCTTTAATCCCTCCTAAGTTTTCCATTCTCATAGACATATATAACCTTACGCGTATTCTTCTTCATCTTCTCCCATAACCTAGGATAGTTTTCTCTTAGTTAATATCCAGAGATAATAAGTAATCTAATCAAGTTCCAGATATAATTAACAAAAAATAAAATCAGTTTTGTTTACATTAGGAATTGAGAGAGTAACAAACAATCAATCATCAATTATAAGAAATAGGTCTCCCTTTACATTGCTCTTAATATAGGAAATTTTTTGTCAGAAAGAAACTCTCATTACCAGGGTCATTGGAGCGTTTAGCCCCAATCAGAACTTATAAATTAGGAACTCGAGATAGTACAATAAGCAAGGTGTTGCCATCACTAGATCTCCTTTCCATCAGCCGAAAATTTCAATAAAATATTGATTTAAGAGTACATTACACTATCTATTGGCGAATTCCCATGAGAACTGCAGTGACTTCACTTGATGTAGTTCAGGCTACAGAACAATCTTCAAGCCGCAGCCAACATATCACATAAAGATTGGTATGCTGCACTGCACAGTTTGAACTTTTCCTCCGCAACTGCCTGTTCAGATACATTGATTAATTGCTTTGTCAATAGCACTTCATTAGCTCTGATTAGAGAAGCAGTGATGGAGTTCATATCCATCGTTGCATCACCAGAAGAAACTTCTGTACTACACTGATATAAGTTCCCTTCTAGAAGATCAGAACCCCCTACCCCCAACAACAACCCAAACCATTGAATTTGAAATATATAAGCAGCCTTTTATTGACAGGTGTCCTGATATTCTAAAAACATCAAGCTCAGAAAAAAATAATAATAAATAAATCAAGCATGCTTTTGTTAAGAGATTTTGGCCCATTGTTCTGCAAGTCCATTCATCTTGCCATGTTCCCTGAGCTGATCTGATGCAAAAACTAGTAATATGCCAAGAGCTAATTTACGTAGGGAGAGAGTACCTTTGAAGAGCCCTGGTGACGATCCGGATGCCATTTCAGTGCACATGCCCGGTATCTGAAACAGAAAATCATATTTAAATAAAAGAACAAAAAATTCCACCATTCATTCGGCAACTGCTATGCTCTAGAAACTAGAAACTAGGTGAGATCCATGCAACTGAGCAACCAGTCCTGTGAGAACTCACGCATGTTTGACATCTTCAAGTTTGAGAGGACCAGAAGCGCTCAGTCCAAGGGCAAGTCTATCTGAAGCAATATTTGACTCCGAATTGTTAGATTCAAATTCTGATGACGAATCATAATCCTCATGAACCCGATATCTCCAATTCCTCCCATAGTTATAAGAGTAGCCAGATGAGTTCTTCCATCGAGGAGTCTCTTCATTGATGAAGGACCAGTAAAAAAACTGATTCCCACCAAATGCAGATTGGAAGAGGGTGTCAACATCAAAAAATTCTTGATCTTCACAAAACCGAAAACCTTCTGAAAAGAGTTGAAAATTGTGTAATTTTTCATGCAACTCTAGAAAGGTGACAAGGAGGAATTTCAAGACTACATAGCACAAGAATATACGTGATAATTGCCCATTCAATGCATGAACAAGAGTTTATACAGTTGGTAAGAAAAGAACTATGGTATGTTGAGGTGTGAATGGAAAATGATATGCAAAAAGGAATAAAAATGATTCATCAAGTAAATGCATCTATACCCCCACCCCTCACACCCAAGAAAGCGACAACAACAACAACAATTATAATATTAAGACAATTTCAACCTAGCAGATCACGAAGACAGTGAGCATTTAACAGCACAACACTGAAATTGTTGACAGATGCTCCATGGAGAAGATAACGGGATATTTAAGTCCACAAGATAGGCATGTTTGATTCAAGATTAAAAAATAGTTGTACAAGAGTGTAAAGTTAGTTTTAAAGAGCATTTGATGTGTTAGCACATGCAAGAGTAAATTGTTAATCAAAAGAAAGAGGAAAAAAAAAAGGTTAATATGAGAGAGAGAATAAAAAATTCAGAGAGAACTCTGGAGGGGTGTGGGGGTGAAAGAATACCCCTACCTCCCAGGTAACAATCATCCCCCTTGTGACATTGGGAGTTAATTGTTACCTCTAATAACCCTGTCCTCCAAAAAACTCAATCGAACAAGGAGAACAATTACAGAGGCAATCTATCCCCTAAACCCTACACCAAAGTGTAAGTACTTCATGGTCCATACTTTTACCCGAACTCTTGGTTCCCTGATTGTCAGTCCTGTTCTTTGTGGATCCATTAGAGTATTGTTGTTTAAACCATGAGGGCGAACTCTTGGTTCCCTGATTGTCAGTCCAGTTCTTTTTGGATCCCTTAGAGTATTGTTGTTTAAACCATGAGGGACCGCTACTTGAAGAGGGATCTTTTTCATCAAAGCTATCATCCGAACTCTACAATCCAGAGGAAAAAATAAATTAATTGCAAGAAGTTAAAGGCCCTAGCAGGCAAAGAATATAATTAGATTGGAACATAACAAAATTTGCAGCCACTCAAATTTCACAAATAGACCAATCTGTGAAATTAAAGAAGGCTGCATTGGCATAATCAATTCGGCAAATTATGCTCAGATAGAAGAAACAGTCTCAGAGAGGGAGGCAGCAGAACAAGATTGCATGGTACTTCTCACTCATTCACAAGTATATCTGAGAAATGTTTCTCACAGAACAAATAGTTTTGCATCTTGTTCAGTTTTTTCTTAATTAGTTTTTTATATATGTTATTGTCCAAATTTATCTTGAACATTCTTTTCTCTCTATCCGCCTTTATCCAAAAACAATAGCATTTTGAATGGTATCCATGATTTGAAAATAAAACACAAGCAAGTTTGTTATCAAGTAAAGAAGGGGAAAGTTTTTATCTTTCTTTTGTCGATGCTTAGCGGCACGTTCATTGTGGTAAGTTCTCAACAAACATAAAGAATCATCATAAACCATGGATCAACAAGCTGGATCCAAAATGAGCTATATCTGCTACAGTAAAATTTGGAATTAAATTTAAGATCACTACATGACCAGCAATACCAATGTGATATAAACAGCATGACCAAATTATTAATCTCAACAATTGAATGTAAAATATGAATCAGTTACCAAAGCTATTCCACAAAATTTTAACCCACACTATAGTAACAGCAAGTTCAAGACTTCTACAATGAGAAAAAAGGTGACTTGACATGTCTGCACTATTTGAAAACAAATTGTTTTTTCTCAGTTAACATTATACCGGACTCCATTTGATTGATTTCCATTATTTCAAGTAATCAAGTTCACCAATTCACTAACGAGAGATCCTCTCTCACTCTAAACATCAAAGGTTTCCTTTACCATTCTCAAGATCTCTCATCAATAAGAAACATTCAAATGTTCTCAGGGAATTTACTTGAAGATTTGACCACCTTTGAAAGAATTCTTGTGCATTGTAGAACTTCAAGCCAGTCACCCTCATTCTATTTTGTAACTTCAAATCAACCTAGCACCATTCATTCAGCTTCCTACTCTCAACTGCCAATTAGCTCCTAAAAGGAAAATCAATAGCTTCTTAATACCTGTAAATTACTCCTAAACCTTCAATTCAACTTCCTGCCATCATACCCTCTTAACTTATATCCTTCTAGGTACAGAGTCACCCTCTGGTTCATCCATCAATTTGTAGAAATCTCACTGCATCAACAATGAATCCTCAAGAGTAGAAAGTTGGAGGCTATCAAAATAGGATTAAAAGCAGGGTAGAATGGGGAAATAGTAGACATTATTGGAACATATAGATTCCATTAACCCCAGCCAAATGACCAGTGGCCATATCTTAAAATAACACATGCACTCCACCAGAACCCACTTTTCTACTGCTTACAACAAAGCCTGAGGGACAAATATTCTAAAAGTCTGGAATCATAGTAAAAGACGGTTGGCTAGAGTGCAGTTAATTTTTTTCAAAAATCCAGTTGTCAGCAACACAACAAACTACGAGGTACAGACTGTGAAATAAGATTCAAAAAATAAATAAATAATTTTCTTTTCTCTGAGAAGCTAAAAGAGAGAACTGCCAAAAAAGCACCTTCAGATTTCCTAGCATAAAACTGAAAGGATCCCTGTGTCCCTAAAACAATATAAGTTACCATAAAATTAAAAGAAAGTGTATAGACTGTGTAGAAACCAATTAACCAGACCACAAAGAGTTCAGTGCAACAGATGTTTAGAAAAGGACAGTATTGTCCATTAGATTTTTTCTTTTTCTTTTTTAATATCAAAATTCTTGACAATAACAGATCACTTGATGAAGCATGAACTCCTTGAAAATGGAAAAACCCATAAGAGAGTAATAGCAAGTTGTCAATATAAGGAAAGAACCTGAAATATGCTGTCTGCATAAACACCGACATTACGCAGTAAGGTTTCCTTTGCATTTAACCTCCTCGACCTCCTAGAATAAGCAGTGGATCTATGACTCTGCAATGAGCAAAAAATTTCATTCAGCAAGAGAATATGTTCAATTTATTGAAAACAGGAGAGATTATTTTCATTTCACACCATGGAGAGAGGGGGAAATATAAAACTCGTTTCAGTAGGACAAAAGAAACGATTGATTGGACTTATTATCAAATAAGATATGTGCAGTTAATCTATCAAAAGTGCATCAAAAGAAAATTTTAAACTGAAAAAAAAAAGATGGAAGGAATCAAACTTTTTGGCAATCCCATACTACTTACAGTAGACTGCCAACATGATGTTGTTTAAAAGATCATAGAAATGCTCTCAAAAACCAAACTTTTTGACATCTTAGTGTACCATATCTCCAAAAGAATACACCAGTATGTTAATTGTGCGACACGACATTTGCTTTTTTCCACAATATTAACAGAAACCTCTTGATTTCATATTATTCACAAATTGTAGGCAAGAAATGACCCCCATTCCCACCCTAACATAGGAAAAGAAAGGGAATTATACCACATATTCAGATTAATAATTCAAACAAATGCCAATACCGAGTTCCGATAAGTAATCTCAAAATATAATTCATTTAACCATTATAATTTCGTACCATAATTCGTTATTTCTTCCTCCACTAAAGATCACACTTAATTTCCAGACAGAAATATTGATGGGGTTGCTCAATTAATGAAATGGAGGAACAAAGTAACAATTCCGGTCAGTCTCCCTGGTAAGCTTAAACATTTATAATATGATATGATGTGTAGCAAAAATTTAGTTAAATCTTTTGACATTCCTGTTTGCCAAGTTAAAAATCAAAACTTCCACCCTTCCTTCTCAACAGCCAAAATGATTAAAAAGGGCCATCAACAAGATAAAAACCAATACCCCAACTTATCAAAACCATTAAATCCCACACAATCATCAAGAAACAAACACAGCCCAAATTTTAAAAACAACCAAACAATTAATTTCATTTGCATATGCACATATAAAGAGTAAGAGAGGGAGAGAGACACTAACGGCACCCCAAAAATTGCGTTTTTTGCGTTCAAGAACAGGAGTGGAGTGAAAGAGAGCAGTTTTGAGCTGGAAAATGTTGGTTTTGGGAATACAAACAGCTGATTTGGTGCCGCAATTCATCATCTTTGCAGACCAAATCCACCGTGGAATTGTGAAACTCGCAGCCACGAACCAGTTAGCTGCTTGAAGACATCGGCGAGTCCACTCGAAAAGAAAGTCTGTTGTTTATTTCAAACATTTTGGGAAGGTGTGGGTTAAAAAGTAAACAATGATGGTAAATTTGTTTTTGCGAAACAGTGGTTGAACCGTAAAGAGTGACGGTAATTTCTTTTCTATGGAGGGTATTGATTTTCTATAATTACCCTTTTCCATTTTTAGGGTAGCCAAGCCACTTGACCGTCCCCTGGATTTGTCATGATTGGTTAGTTGTTGGTGTTTTACATTCATTTTTTGTTGATAAAATACGATGATCAGACCTATGAATTAATGTCAATAAACAAAAATTATTCTACCTCAATTTTAGCTAATTTTCAGATTGGTGTGTAATTTTTTTTCACTAACATTTTCACAAATATTATTGACAAAGAGCATTTCTCCAGCATAGTCCTACCAAGAAAAAAAAAAAAAAAAACTATCCTATTAACCAGGACTAAAGTTTCTTAAAAACAAATTTCTCTTAAAAAGAGTCGTCATCCAAAGAGACTTTGGAATTCTTCTACCCTAAGGCATTTTCGCCTAAAAAAAGAAAACATTATCATCCAAAAACAAAGTATTTAATGAAAAATCTTCAATAATGACATCAATTAAATCATTACTCATCATGATTGCATTAACACTACCATAAAATCAAATACAATAGTAGCAAAGTATTAATATTTGTCGACTTTTTCACCGACTCAAAAAAAGAAGGATATTCATGCTTTTCTACTATACAAGTTGCTCTCATAGTGACCCATATAAAGGTAAAAACCCTCACAAAGAAGAAGGAAATAAAAGGGTTTTAGTTCACACATCTACGAAAAAACTACGAAGAAGTTTTAAAAATTCTTTTCAAATAGTTTATCATATACAACTCCCTCTCTTCTACTAAATTACAAAAACACTAGAACATACTAACACAAAAGAGGTTTATCAAGTCAATTTACCACCTTCTAACTATTAACTTAAGCATTAGAGGATCGTTCACCCAACTAAAAAGACTTATTTTAGAGGTACACAACGCAAAAAGAACTTCATATTCCATGATCGTAAAATAACCATCATTGTCATCTTGAGCTACATATCCTAAATTTGTTAAACGAGTCGATCGATGACTCGTCAATTGTCACTATTTATGAGAATCTAAGCGGAAAGCCAACCAAACTCCTCGTATCTCTAATTCTACTCTCTAGAGTGTCTCTAGGTTTATGTTTGGCGTAACAAATAAAAAATTTTTAATGTACCATCCATCTAGACTTTGCTAGTTTAACACCTAGCTTGTAGATGTTGTTCAACTACAACAAGATAACTAGAATCTCATAAAGGTATTCTTGGCAACTTAAGCATAAATCACGAGTACTTGGCTCATCACCTCAAACATTTGTACGCCTTTCATTTCTAGATACTCCAATATTGTCAAGTGTTGCACCTTGTGCGAAAAGAGTCATATTTTCTCTCCTTACGAATCAATGAGGCCTATGCATGCTAGATGAGATGCAAAAAGGACATCTTGGTGCCAAAATTGGGAACAATGTCATTCAAAACCCAAACAAGTTATGCACATTACATAGAAAAGGAACTAGTGACCTAAAGATCTCACGAGGAAAGAGAGAAGAAAGAAAGATGAAAAAAAACACACAGTGTTGTCGGAAAATAATAAGAAAACCATCATTAATGCTACTCCTCATCCTAAATATCTCACATAAAAAACCATCATTAATGCTACTCCTCATCCTAAATATCTCACGTAAACCTAGAGCTTAAACACACTATGTAGAAAAGAAGCTTGAAGTCTCTTCTTACATATGCATAGAAAACTATGAGCATAAGCTCTAGGCTTCAATTTTGGCTCAACATATCTTTAACATCAAACTCTTTAAAGAGTTTTTCTCGAGTAAGATAACATTGGATATGTATAACAATTCCATCAATTTGAGAGAACACATGCAAAACGTGAGGAGAAACCTCGAGCTTATGTTGTATGAGATAGATGCTACATGCAAAGTGTTTCTCATTATCTTTTGAGTTATCGCTAAAAAATGATACAACGACCTAGATCCCGAGTTTGCCTTGAGCTTCGAAGATCTCAACTCTAAGCTAACGAGCAAGTTCTTTATGAGCACTTTCTTCAAAATTTCCTATTGCCAAATGTATGGCACTTTCGGAATGCCAAGTAAGAGTGATGATCTACCTAATACTCATTGAAAAATATTTAGTCTTAGTATACAACTATACTCATCAAAAAATATTTAGTCCTAGTATACAAATATAATTAGGATACACTCTCAATTGTGGCCCAAAAAAAAAAACACAAACGAGCTTAGTCTAACGGTTATGTATCTAGTTTTCCTAATGAAGTAAGATTTGAATCCTAATAACTCCATTTTTTTTTTTAATAATTATGTAATGAAAAAGGCTATCCTTATTATGTAAACCAAGTAGATCCATTGAGCCTCCGATGAATAAAAACAAAACAGTCATTATTTCGGAAAGGAAATATTTAATTAAGCTTTCCATCTATTCTAGCAACACTAAATTCGTTTTTATCATGTAATTATGACTAGTCGGTTACAAAATATTCTTGCATTTTCACAACTCTCTCTTTTCCTTGTCATCCCTCCTCCTTCCCAATCGAACAACCTTTATTTTTATTTTTTAAGTTAAAATAAGTAACACTTATTAAAAATTCATTCAAATTGAAAAAAAAAATAAAGAAAAAAATTTAAAATAATCAGATTTTTTTATTTCTAATGAATTTATTATTATTATTATTATTATCAAAGAATTTAAAAAAATATATATATATATATAGAAATTATAAATGATTTTATAATAATTCTCAATAAATAAATTAAAAAAATCTAAAGAAAAGTTAAAATAAACAGAAAATTTTAATTTCTAATTAATTTCTAATAATTATTACTAAATAATTTTAAAAAATCTATAGAAATTATTTTCAATTGTTAACAGTTTTATAATAATTATTAATAAAGAAATTTTAAAAAAAATCAAAAGAAATTTTTAATGATTTTATAATAATCATTAATAAATAATTTTAAAAAAAATATATAAAGAAATTTTTAATTATTTATAACAATTATGACTAAAGAAATTTTTCAAAAAAAATCTCATGAAAAGTAAAAAAAAATTGAAAAATTAATAATTGAAATTTTCTTTTTCAAAATTTTTTTATTAAAATAATTAATAATCATTAAATATTTAAATATTTCTTTAGATTTTAAAAAAATTATTAATAATTATTATAAAATTGAAAAATAATAATTCTTTATGTTTTTTATAAAATTTTTATTAATAATTATTATAAAATAAATTAAAATTAAAATAAAATTATTTATATTTTAAAATTTTCTTTATTAATAATTATCATGAAATTATTAAAATGATTTTTTATTTTAAAATTTTCTTTGGAACTTTTTTAATTTTTACCGATCTAATAATAATTGTTAATTATTTTACCTTTGAAAAGAAAAATTGATTTTAAAAGAAGCATACATTTTTATTTTTAACTTGACACTTGTCACTGTTTGATCAATGGAACGTTAGTTAGCTAACGAAAATTTGTCATTCTGACAAAAAAAAGTTAAAGAATTGATTGTTTTGTATCATCGTCTTGTAATATAAGATTTTTTATAAATTATATCTGAATAGAGAAATTATAACAATATTTTTAATATAATATAGGAGCACATGGTGTATTTGACTCTATTTCCAGAGTCAAGATTAAAAAAAAAAAAAAAATCATCGTGAATAGGAGGATTTGTAGGTAATGATATTTTTTTCAAAAAATCAGGACTTCAGGAGAGTTAGGCTCGAATTCTAGTATTTGCTTTCAAGAGAAACATTGCCTACACTTTCTCATTTCAAGAGAAATTTTGTTATCTTTATTATTATTATTATTATTATCATCATCATTATTACAATTATGGTATTTGCTATTTTCTAACGAAAGGAAACCATTTATTAAAGCTTTTAAAATTGAAAAAAAAAAAAAAAAAAAAAACCTTCAAATACTTGGCTTGGCGGTGGTTAAGAAGGTTTGTTTCATTCCTTAACTTTCTAGGTTCAGTATCTCGGGCAATACTAATATTATAAGAATAAATCATAAGAAATAAAATTTTATGAAAATTTTGGCCTAATTCAGAAATTAATGGGTTTATTCTCTATTAATGTGAAGAATGTTTTAAAAATACACCACTACATGTAAATACTATAATAATAAATCATGAAAAATAAAATTTTATGAAAATTTTGGATTAATTCAGGATTTAATGAGTTTATTCTCTGTTAACGTGAAGACTGTTTAAAAAATGCCCTATTAAATGTAAATATTATAAGAATAAATCATGAGAAATAAAATTTTATGAAAATGTTGGCCTAATTCAAGAATTAATGGGTTTGTTCCCTGTTACCGTGAAGATTGTTTTAAAAATCTTCTACTGCATGTAAATATAAATATAAAAAAATCATATCGTTGTGGCTAGAGTGATTAAAGTGATCGTTTTTAAATATCACACATGCATCATACATCTTGATAATTATTTAAGTTAGGGGTCTGGAATATTGCATCTTTTTCTTCGAATGTGATTCACTTGTGTTCTTACAGGAGACAGTACTGAAGTATCATAAATCATAACAACCATGGTACCCAATGGTATTTGTATGACCTATTTGAGTTCAACCTTCGTCTTTTTATAATCTCAAAGTGCACATCTAATTCTCTAGAGTGCAATGATTGCTACAAGGCTACAGCAGCACGAGGGTAGTTGGGATTATGAAGTACCTAAGATCTATATAAGCATGCAGCAAAGCAAAGCACAGAATTAGATTTGTGGGTACGTACGTACACAAGTAAAATTGCAAACACAAACATGACATATGAGATGGTACATCAAAACATGCACTTTTTTAACAGCCACATGCAAAAGAGGTTTGCTGTCTGTAAACTTTCAACAAAAAAGTGCCATCTTCCTCCAACATATAGCTGGATCACTAGCGACCATACTCAAAAGAAAAGATGTGTAATTTTACTTGCGGGGACCAAACAAACTTGCAATCATGAGAGTGATTAGAAAAGGACGATTATTCACATGTCCAAACGCATCCAAATTAATTAGATCTCACTTTCTCGTTTATAGATGCTTAGCTTGTTTGTTCAATGTTATTAGCTATAATTAAAAGTAAATTGTGTTTTTCTGTTGGGTTTCCACTAATTAACAACTTTGTAATTAGCCTAGAAGGATTGGGTCAACCCATGAAAACCAGGGAAGACAAAGTTACCAGTGTATGGGACTTGATTGATCTTGGTTGATAAGAGAAAAACCAATTTAAGTCAACCGGTTAACGGGTTTTTCATCATTTCCTTTGGAAAATGGTAGTTCAACTGATCTTCAAGGGTACGGGCTCGAGCTAGGGTCGACCTCGATTTTCATATATTTCGTTTATTTATTTCCACAAGGCCAAATAATTTGCTCGACCCTTTCAAATATTGGTTTGGGTAGTAGTATGTTATCCACAATATTATTTCGGAATCGAAATTAAAAAAAAAAATAATGTTCATGGGTGCATGGTTTGCTTAATATATGAAAAGAAGGAACCTTTTGTCTTTGTATGGAATTGTTAATCCAAAGGACAATTGACTCGAATGGGGAAATTGGGAGGAAGGAGATCTGAGTAGTGGAGGATAATCATATATATACACATAACCTAACTGTTGAAGGAACAAACAATTTGTTTCTAGACAATGAGCAAATAAAGACAACCATGTTGGGTCATGAACTCTAAAGTCTTGATTAGAAAAGGAAGGTTGCATCCTTTTTTTCTTGTGTTAGCCAATTGTCTTGCCGCTTTTGCAATCAATCTAGTAAAACCCAGGCCTACTTCATAATATATGTGGTCCTAGGTAAAATAATATTTTAGAAACTCTTTTATAAAATAAATAAATATTAAATATTATTTAAATATTATTTTTTTTATTTTTCGAGATGTAAAATCTCTAATTAAATTTTTGTATTCAAGTTTATAAAGCAAATTTTTTTCAATTGATAATATAGTCAAATTACTTAATCTTTCTTGTAACATAATTAAACGTAAATAAGATTTTATTAATTTTAATTTTGAAAAACTTTTTTCGATCGAAGCTACGATAGCGGGAATAGTTAATAGTATTATATATGTTATCTATGCATTTGGAAAAGAATTTACCTTTTTTATAAAATTTAGTATGGCAAGTGGTGTTTTCATTTCTATAGTTATAATTTCTTTTAAAACTTTTAATTCTGAAAATAAATCTAAACCATCAATATCGAAAGCATATCGTGCTTTAGAAAGTTTTCAAGATTTAAATAATTTTTTTTTCAAAATATCATCATCAAGTGATTTTAATTTTTCTACACTATAAAGAAAATCAAAATTATCTTTATATATTTTAAATTGTTCAAACCTATTTTGAAGAGAGGAAATCGCATGATCAACTAAATATGCAAAATAATTAATTCTAAAAGATTTTTTAACGAGATAATTTCATGTCTTCATTTTCAATCTCATCAAATTATTTCTTTCTAATAGACATATTATTCAAATAATAAAATTAAAATATAATTATAAAAGAATAAGAAACTTTGACACCTAATTTTATTTGCTTGTCACACCTAATTAAGTAAACCTAGAAAGAATCACCCGAGAAAATAAAAAGAAATTTGAGAAAAAAATAAAATATTATATGATTTATATACATAATATTATTTGCATAGATTAAAAAATTACCTTCAAATTCTTCCGCCAAGCTAATTAGTAAAGGTTTTATAAGAGATCTCCGATTGTTTGGAGAAAGAAAGGAATATAATAACAAAATTTGGAGATTTAAAAATTGTTTCACTCACAAATATTTTTCCGAAACTTTTCCGTAAGTAAAAGTGTCTCACTAAATAAAAATTGAAAGTTTTTATAAGTAGAAGGTAACTCGGAAAGACATCTAGAAAAAGATAGAATTTTTAACATTGAAATAATAACATCTTTGAACAATATGAGCCTTTCAATGTAGGAACTCTAGTACCTATGATCCGTTAATAAAGAGAAGAATGGTGTATCGTACTTAGGTAAAGGTCGCACTTTTTAATTTATCTCATTTTTCATAGGTGTAAATTTAAGGTAAAATTTTAATTAGGCCCCCTTTCTATGAGGGCCCTAGGCATAGGCCTAGGCCTTAATGGCCTATGCCTTGAGTCAAGCACTCGGTAAAACCTTACCGTTAAATTATGGATAAAAATTTCTTAGTGGAAAAAAAAAGCATAAAATATTAATAATTGAAAGATTGTTGAAAAGAGAAAACTTATTTATTTTCATTGGAACAATAAATAACATAGTAAATAAAATCAAGAATATCCTTTGAATCTTCCAATTATATATTTGATGTCTTATGTTTGTTGAATAATGTTAATCTTACATAATAATCTTACCAAATTCATTAATTCATTAATATATATAATTGAATTTAGGATACTTATTAATGAAAATGTCAATAAAAAACAAATACTCTTGTTTATTTTCATTTGAACCATAAATGACATAGTAAAGAAGTCAAAAATATCATTCGAATGTTTCAACAATATGTTTGATGTCTTGCTTGTTCTTTAAATAATGTTAATTTTACATGATAGTTTTACGAGATTCATATATATATATATATATATATATATATATATATATATAATGGTAGGTATGTGTATATATTTTGTAAGTAAATCGTGTAAAACTAGCTACTTTATAAAGTTAGCATTAGTCTACAAACTTACAAGAAATGCATTAATCATGAAAGCGAAAGCTAATGAATTATCCTTAATGCACCAAGTTAATCATTGTCCAAACATATTCCATATCATCGAGAGTCTTTCCTTTTGGACTGAGTTAAAAAGGGAAAAAAGTTCAATACTCAAATAAAAGTCAGTTATATAGATTAATTAAAACGATTAATTGACTTCTATTTTTTTATGGTAATTTTGAAGTGGATGCAATAAACTGTATTAAAAAGCATTAATTGATTAGGAGTTTTAAATCATTCTTAGCAAGTATTGTTAGGCAGTGGAACCAATCAGAAAATTTTGGCTCAGGAAAGTTAAAACTTTTTTTAAAATGACCCCAACTCCTTCCTAAAAAAAAAAAAATTGATTACAATTAGCTCAAAAAAGGAGGGATTTGACCTCTTAAAAAAGAAAGGAAAGGAAAAGCAGTAGCATTTTTATCCCCTCTCATGTTCTAATTAAGGAAAATGCAACCACAATTAGCGGTAGACTAATCCAAAAGTGGTCAACCATAAATAATCTATCCCATGTTGTGTTTGTTGTGCATGGCACGTCATATGCCTCATTTAGCAAGATACAATCTTAGCCGTCTGATTTGGTCTGATTCCTCGAGTCAAAGAAGACTCAGTTGCTAGGAAGCGAGAATCGGGGGGTACCAGACAGGTGGCGATGGGCTCGACAACACCTGAAAAGACACACCGACAGGATCTCCGGACAGTTGGAAACGGAATGCTGAGTTGGCAATTAAGGTTTTTTCTTTTCTTTTTTTATTTTGCCATGAATCTCCCTCGCTCAAAACACAAAACGTGAGAAGAAAAGGTTGCTAGATTAGAAAATTTTGCCTTTTTTAGTGGGTCCTTCCCCAAGGACTAAATTGCCCCTCTGTGCTGGTGTACGACACCAATTGCCCTGATTTATGTCAAATTGCAATTGGAAGGGGCATTTATGGATTTCAAAGCACACTAACATTGATTTCCTATTTTGCAAGGCTAACAGAAACAAAGATAATAGGATGGCTTAAGGATGAGAATATACTTAATTTTTCGCCTAAATTTCAAAATTTTATAATTTATTTATTTCTTTTACATATAATCTAGAAAAAATCTTTTAAAAATCTATTAAATATTATAGAGTAGTTGATTTTTAGTTAAAATGATAAATTTTATCATTGGCTAAATCAGAATACCTTACATAAAACTATTATTGAGAATTGAGATCCTTCATGTTCTTCGAAACATATACATTAAATAAATATTTTCACATATAATTAAATTTTAAACATTATAATATATATTTTTTTAAAAAAATTATAAAGTATAACTATCAATGTAATAGCAATCCGATATAATCTGTCATAAAAAACCAATATAATAATTAATAAAGTCAATATCCTTTTTTAATTAAAATAAAAAAAATCAAAACTCTTCATTAACAAATCACCAATGAAAAGATAAGAAAAATAGGAAAAATTAGACAGTAAAAAGATAAGCAATGAAATGGTCAAATTGAGATTCGGGGGATTGGTCTAAAACTTGAACAAAAACCCCTAATTAAAGGTTGATATTACCAGCATGCCCTTGGTTCAGGACGAGAGGTTAGATGGGCCAATATAACAAATTACAAGGTCAAATCTGTCCATACAAACAAAACAACCGAAAGTGAGCCAGCTGTTTCCATAATGAGCGTGACGCGTCATGGGGTCCGTAAATCAGATACCGAATACCAACGGCCAAGATCATTTCAAAGTAAATTTGAGGTTCATTTAAGTTGAATTTCATTTGAGGCTGAAATTTCATTTCACATCTTTCCCTTTTTTAAAATAAGAGGGCGGGTACCTTGAACAGACGCCCATACACAGCAAACGCAGAGAAACACAAAGAACAAATCCAGTTTTCTAAACGGTATGTTATTTGAATTTCAAAATTCTCCACTTCTTTTTTCTGGGTTTAGCTTAGAATCCACCTTTATTGAGTCAAGCAGTTAAAAGATTTGGCTAATTTATTTTTGTAATTTAGCATTGCTAAAGCTTTGATCTTTGATGTGATTTTAGCAAAATGAATATTCAGATTTTGATTATCACTTGTAAAAAGGAAATGGGATCTTTTTGTTTTGCTTTTTTGGGATCATTTGTTGTTACTTCAAAATAATAGTGCATTAAATGGTTTGATCCCCTATTTCTAAAGCATTTTAATGTAAAGTAGGCATTTTTAATGTGCCAGGTGACAGGAAATGGCAGAAAGTGAGGATATTCAGCCTCTTGTTTGTGACAATGGTACCGGAATGGTCAAGGTAATAAGCTAGATTCATTTGTGATCTATATTAGAGTTTTAAGATTTGATTCTTAAGTCGATACCGATTGTGATTGTTGATTTGGGTTGGAAATTTTAGGCTGGGTTTGCTGGAGACGATGCACCGAGGGCTGTTTTCCCTAGCATTGTGGGTCGCCCACGCCACACCGGTGTGATGGTTGGTATGGGTCAAAAGGATGCATATGTCGGGGATGAGGCTCAATCAAAGAGAGGTATTTTGACTTTGAAATATCCAATTGAGCATGGTATTGTTAGCAACTGGGATGATATGGAGAAGATTTGGCATCACACCTTCTACAATGAACTCCGTGTGGCTCCTGAAGAGCATCCGGTTCTCCTTACAGAAGCTCCTCTTAATCCCAAGGCCAATCGTGAGAAAATGACCCAGATCATGTTTGAGACCTTCAACACTCCCGCAATGTATGTTGCTATCCAGGCTGTCCTTTCCCTTTATGCCAGTGGTCGTACAACTGGTGAGTTATATGGTCCATTCTCAGTTTGCTTTATGTTCAAATTGACGCATGGGAAAATTCTGTTATCCGCTTGTTGCATTGGAAGTTTTCAGAACAAAGTGGAGTTTTAACAAAGGATTGAAAAATAAAAATTCAGGAAAGATATTTAGCTAGATCACTGAAAAATGGAATGTCTTGGGTTACTTCTCAAACCTCAATATTTTTAACTTGTAAATTGGCACGATCTATTTTCACCCTTTGCCACGATCACATTTGATTTTGGAAAATTTTATATGATATCCACTGATGATCATGAAAACCAAAGTGTCTTTGACGAGCATGTGGTTTATCTAGCTTGGCGATTTACATGTGGACTCTTTTAATTGTAGAGATAAATTAGGTGAAATGATATTTTTCATGATCAATTTGTTTTGGCTAGGTATTGTTCTGGACTCTGGAGATGGTGTGAGTCACACAGTTCCCATCTATGAAGGCTATGCCCTCCCACATGCCATTCTGCGTCTTGACCTGGCAGGTCGTGATCTCACCGATGCCCTCATGAAAATCTTGACTGAGCGCGGTTACTCTTTCACCACCACAGCAGAGCGTGAAATTGTAAGGGACATGAAGGAGAAACTAGCCTACATTGCTCTTGATTATGAACAAGAGCTAGAGACAGCAAAGACCAGCTCATCTGTTGAGAAGAGCTATGAGCTGCCAGATGGGCAGGTTATCACCATTGGAGCTGAACGTTTCCGGTGTCCCGAAGTCCTCTTCCAACCATCCATGATAGGGATGGAAGCTGCTGGCATACATGAAACCACATACAACTCTATCATGAAGTGTGATGTCGATATTAGGAAGGATCTCTATGGCAATATTGTCCTCAGTGGTGGCTCTACCATGTTCCCAGGCATTGCCGACAGGATGAGCAAGGAAATTACAGCATTGGCTCCCAGTAGCATGAAGATTAAGGTGGTTGCACCACCAGAAAGGAAGTACAGTGTCTGGATAGGAGGCTCCATTTTGGCATCCCTCAGCACCTTCCAGCAGGTACTGTGCCTAGATTTTATATTTAAGCTGCAAACAGAATTGGACGTTAAACCGACCCTCCTCATTTTGATATCTTTAATGTCATGCTATAGCAAGTTTGTTTAGCGTCATTACACATTACATCCTTAAGAACATGAATCTTTATGCGATGATTGGAAAGAGTAGCTAGAATGATAGTGAAGCTTCAAAGGAACTTAATGTTGTCAGTTCATGATCTACCATAATCAGGCACTCCATTCTTGGACTGTGCTTTTCTATTCTGATTGGAGAAATTTGCTGTCTTTTGAGTGCAGATGTGGATTGCAAAGGCAGAGTATGATGAGTCTGGGCCATCAATTGTCCACAGGAAGTGCTTCTAATCATGCAAAACAAGAGGCTGTTGGTCAAATACATACCATATACACTTTGTATTACAAAAGGCTTCTAATCAAGTGGTTGCAAAATTATCTTCTGCATTTCATCACCTCTTTCGCTCTGTTTTCTTGTGTTTTGCTCCGTCAATGTCTGGACAACAAAAAATGAGGTCGAGTGGATCAAATTTAAGATTCGATTTTTTCATTTGTTATTTGATTTGTAGAAGACTTGTGTAATGTAACTGATTTGGTTTGGGTTAATTTCAGGGATTCATTACTTTATTGTTTCTTTAAGAAATTTTTATGAAATAAAACCAGTATTTATATTCATATATAAGTGTACTTGCAACTCAAATTTTCTCTCCGAATCATAGCGTAATTATATGTGGTGGACGAGAATTTTTGTTGGTTTGGTCATTCTCTTTCTGGGTCATGTGCCAACAAATGCGCGAGTGAATAATGATACACGCACAGAAAACATGTGTGATCGTTGTTGATGATATGTTAAAGTCTACTCAGGCCAGGAGAAGGAGAAGAAATTGTTATTCTGAGAAGCTAACGTACTTCAACTTTTTTTGGTCGCTATGAAGTGTTTCTGCGTTTTCCATGAACATCACATGCTGGAACTTCGATTATAGCTGCTTGTTGATCATTATGCTAATGACAATAGACCCAGCACAAGTAGTGCATGGACAATGGTCGTTTCAGAAGCATCTCTTAAGATACACGATTGTCGATGGCCCAGCTAGAGTGAGTCAGATGCTAGCAAGATTTGTCTAGCTGTGCTCTTAAAATGAAAGCCATTCCGGTAGAAAATATTCACTAGCACTTGACTTGTCAGTACATTGAGTAACTTGAGAACTACATAACCATATCAGGAGTGGTTGCAGCACATGAGTGGGTTCTGTTCAGAACTCCAATTGCAGCACATGAGTAACTTGTCAGTCATTCTTTATAAAACATTCATTAGAATAGGTTTAAAATAATACGAATCCAACTATTTTGCTCTATTAGGTTGTCCTACTTCTACATCAATAGAATCAATAGAAATTAACTAGACGAACTTTTTTTTTCGTTTTTTATTGAAACATTGCGTTTTGAATAGTACAAACTTCAGGTGTATGCAGAGTCCACATGTTAAACCCAAAAATCTGTAACTTCCCTCGTAAGAATTTTCAACATGGAGCACAGTATCATAGTGAAGGAAATCAGGCTCGACGGCCCACAAAAACTTGGAAAAGAAAGGTGGGAGGAAACAGCACAAAGATGCTGCAAAAAAAGAAAAAAGAAGAAGAAGAAGAAGAAACAGGGAACGACAACAGAAACTTGCCAAGTTTGCTCTTCTTTTGACTAGAATGCCCATTTCAATGCTTGTTTAGATAACGGACCGGGCATTGGCATCAACTCCTTGAAGAAATGTTAAAATTTGATGGTCCAACAGTGTCGATAAACCCTCGGACAGACATCTCTGGTACAGATGTACTATTCCCTAGCAACTGGTGGTCTATAAAGACTACAACTACTGTTATATCATCATGAAAAAAACGCCTGATCCCCCTCTCAACCTTCTTAAGATCATCATACCTCATCTCCCTCTTCCTAGCTGCCACATTTAGAGCTACTTTGACTAGTCTCCTTGCAATTCCCTGATATTTAAAGAAAATAGGAGGAAAATGTCAGTGTCTGGAAGTTAGAAGTACAAAAGAAACTGGGTGCAATAACAGAATACATACAGCTGGTGGATTATTGTAGACGATCTCAACAGCCTCCTGGTTTGTTAGGTGCTCCCACAGCCCATCAGACGCAAATATGACAAATTTATCATTGGGTCGTAACGTCCTTGAATATATGGATGGTTCTGATGTTAGCACAGGCCGGCGAATGGGTTCAGGGAGGTGAAACCGTGGAAAAGAAGGATCAAGAGAAAACTCAGGCCTCTTCAAGTATGCATCACCTATAGATCTAGATACCTACGCAATTCATCAAGAGAAACCAAAAGGAAATATAACTAGTTAATACTGGGAGAAAACTGACTGATATGTATCGGGTAAACAGAAATCTAACAGGCAACTGAAAATCATATTAACTTTGAGATAAATAAATTTGAAAAGTTCCCTCATCATAAGTAGCTTGCGGAATGAGCTTAGCATGTAAGGTACACATAAACATGCAACATATATACTCTGAAAGGTTGACTTGTATGATAGTGAAACGCTAAAAGAAAATCTGACTGAAAGCGTTTGAATATTGCTCTTTTATTCTACAGTTCCCGTGAAAAGGGAATTGCAGAAAAGAGGCTACCATATTCAGGTTGTCTCATTATGAGGAAGCATCCTGGTAGCAAACCTCCCTCGAAAACATCAGCTAATCAAGTATTTTTCCTCTCTGAAGCATCCTGAACTAGGTAAATGTAGTTTCAAGAAAATTTAAAACCGTAACTGTAACAAGTGACTAGACATATCGCACAACAACTCCTAATCTTCTAGTATTAGTTCTTCATATGAAACAGAATTTAAGGACATTTAACACCGAAAAGACAGTGGGGCGTACAAATCTACCAGGGAAACCATATCCTACAGAAGCTTAAGAATTTTTCCTAGTTAATCAATTTGGAATAACCATAACGATCAGTGTCTTAAAAAAAAAATCCCTGCAAATGTATGATGCGGGGGGGGGGAAGATAAGTATTCCAAACTTATTAATGTGCCGGTGTCTATTTATCATTTTTCCAAACTATTCAGAAGCACTAGCGAAGTAATCATGAATCAGAATTGTTTATGAATGCAATCCTAGATAATTAAAATATGCATTTTTCTGGCGTATGCTATTATGTCAAAAATGAAAACCCTTAGCCAGACAAATGAAAAATTATAAACACCAAAATCTATACCCACTTGCTTAATGAAGCAGGGAAATTTTCCAGATTGAAGTATTACCTAAAGAGAGAATGAATTGAAGAGACAGTGAACATGCACCATAACTTCAAAGCGAGAAGTTTCAGTGGATATCATAAGAATAGATGCAAACCTGAATGATGCCTTTGATACGCCATACTCCGTGCTTCATAACAACAATATGTGAATCATCTGGATGCAAGGATTTGAGTTCTTCTCTAACCTCTTCCATACTAGCATTATGGTCCCTGGTCAACTGCTCGGCAACTATCTTATTTGATCTACCTAAAGAACCAATTACAGCTCGAGAATCACCAAGATTGGCAACATATAACGTCCCCCTCCAGATAACTCCAACTAAACAACAAGATCCAACTGCTGCAATCAATGGTTTTATTCCACAGGACCTACGGACAAGAGTAAGAAACCCATCCTCAGTTGCAGAGAAGGCACTTCTAAGGATTTCTTCAGAGATAACTCCTCTTTCTCTAGCATGCCCTACAAAGTAATAATTGCTTATGGTTCATCACATAAAGAATGTTGTCTGGAAAAGCACTCAATGAAATACAAGTCATAGGAGTTTCTACACTGTAAGGCATTTGCTTTCTTTTCTGTAATTCTTTCCCCAAAAACAAGCAAAGGGTGCAGGAGCTACTACACAACAACAGACTATGTTCAATTGAGGCAATCACACCATTATCAGTAAATCAAGCAACCAGAGAAAGGGACATGTGCAAAACCACATAGTTGGCCTCAAGAAGCACCCATCCACAACCATAATAAGAAAAAAGCTTTTTACCATAGATCTTCAAATTTTTGCCTCAAAATACTAAACTTAACCACACAAACTAATATAAAACTAGAAACACTCAAAAGTAGTTGACATTGGCAACAAACACTCGCAAGAAATCAATTCGACTCCCAAAAACCCAATAATCAAATTCATAGAGAACAAAATAAAATCGTATCAACGAGATGTTCAAATTCCTTCAAATTAGCACCAAATCAAAAGTAAACAAATTCAACTAGTCAAGCCCCACGCTAGAAATCAATCCCACCGAAAAGCCAATAAAACTACCAAACAGTTCTAAAGCATACAAAATCCGTTCACATTAACACCGCACATAAAATTACAAACTATACCACAAAAGTCGATTCAACTCAACGCCTAAGCACATGAACAAATTTTACAAAATAATAATAAAAAAAAAAAAACACTTACTCATGAGATTTAAGAACAAATGGTCGGATATGAACCGAGACGCATCAGGTCCACCATGACCATCATAAACACCAATAAAAGTAGCATCACGACCAGTCTCTACTTGACTATGATCTTCAATAACCTCATTCGCTTGAACCACTGCAAAAGAGAACTCTCCAAAAGAGTGTTTCTCAAGGTCTCTAGACCACAGAAGAGAGTCACCAATAGCAGAATCATCATCATCATTTAAAATGTCATCCTTGCTCATACGTGCATATTGCCTCATCGGTCTCCAACAAGCCATTGCAATCCTTTTTAACCACGAGAACATCCCTCATTTCCTATTGAGAAACAAAACAAAACCCACTTTTTTCAATCGGAAATAAACCGACCCTTTAAAGATTTTGGCCTTGATATTGTATAGATTGAGAAAATTCAAGATTTGGGTCAATAAAGATTGGAAATTTTGAGAGAAACCTCGAAAGAAAGAGATCAAAACAAGGCAATGAAAAGAGAACTGTGAGATTGTAATAATTCAAGAACAAGAAACTATAAAAGATTTATGGCTCATGTGGTACAGAGAGAGAGAGAGAGAGAGTAAAGAGCGATAAATTTTGCAGACTTTGGCTTAGAGAGGAGGAGAGAGGGATTGGAGAAAGATCTGGTCTTTTTGGGTAGTTAAGACGAAAGAGAGAGAGTTGCAGAGAGGGAAGTTGACAATGGGTGGGTTTATTTATTATTTGTTTTTTAGTTATGTTTATTATTTTGTTTCCTCTCTCCTCTCTTCTTCTACTTCTTTTCTCTGTTGTGTCACTGGTTTTATTTGTTTATTTTATTAACAAAAGAAGAGAAAGGAGCAGAAGCAGAAGTCCTCTTACCTTTGGTCTTCTTCTTCAAAATTTGAACTGAAATTGTAAACATCTAAAGGGCTATATTTTGGTTACAGACGGTTTGTGTTGGCAACGACTGATGAACCTAGCATGAGAAAAGCTCTCTGTCCTCTTGTGTTGCAGCCTTGTATCAAAGAAAGATAAATGTTTTCCTCTATTTCCTCATTTCCTCCTAGGCTTTTATAATTTGTATGATTCTTCCTAGGAAAATGGCCCTTGATAAGAGGGCAATTTCTATAGTTTCTTCAAATCATTGTACTTACAGTATTTTTAATTATTGTATCCAAATCATTTATTTTATATTTAATAATTTGACTAATTATCTCGTAATCATATTAGTTAGTTATTAATAATATTATAAAATTACAATTTAAAATGTACATCATTATTTTCAAAAGAAAATAAATATTATATGCGTTGTAAAACGTAAATAATTACAAACAATTAAATAGATTTACTCGATGAATCGTAAAATATATATATATATATATATATATATATATATATATATATATATATATATATTTGTAATTTAACTAATTACTTAGTAATTGTCATAGTTACGAATGATTAGGCATAATTTCAATAAAAAAGTTTAGTGTTATCTTAGATAAGAAAAAAATTACTATTTAAACTGTAAGAAAATCATTTAATGATTACAAACTAATACGTATATATATTTATTGCATTGTAAAAATTATTTTATTATTTGGTAAACTTGAATATACCATAATTAACCCCTAAAAAAAACCATAACAAAGCCCTTAAATAAGTGTTAAGTTGAGAAGCAAACGGTAAAAAAATTCCTAATCTAGATTTATTTTTAATAGAATATATAAATTAGTTCCAAGGACGCCAAAGAAAAGCAATGATGCTCTAAATGATGGACAAAAAGATAAGAGATAACATAAAAGAGAATTAAAAAAAATCTAAATGAAAATATTTTTATTAGATTCTATGTATTTTTTTATATTTCCCATATATGTCTTCTTTTTTTAAAATAAACTCATTGAAGTAACTATTATTTATTACTCCTTGAATATTTTAAAGTTTTTTTCTTTTTAAGAAACAAAGAAAGTACAGTTTTAAAATACCATTATTAAAAAAAACTAGTTTTGGTAAGGTGGTAGCACCTGATGCATAACTGTGATTCTTAATCATTAGCAAATAAATATTTGCTAATTGATCATTAGTAATTAGGTTAAATTCCAAGACTCTTGGAGTCTAAGGATCAAGTTTGATATTTCAAACAATATGGAGGACTAAGAAAGATAAAGACAAGCCAAACTTGTTACGGGTTCTGGAAGGAGAGGTGGGGCTATAATGATTTCTTAAGGATCCTGCCTAGGTATAATTGGTATTCTTAAATTGCTATTTAGGACAAAATAAATCAACTATTTTGATATAAGTGTTATTACTAATAGTCTAATTTAGCTTTCAAGTTGCTTGGCCATTAAATTATTATTTCTTTGTAAATAAAGAAGCTTCTATATTATAATTTTTGACAGAACTATCAATACACGTATATTAATTTTTTTATATAGCTTCATGCTTTATTTTTCTTTATAGCTTTGCCTTCATAGTTTCCTAGTTTTTTTTATATATAAAAAAAAATAATTCTTTTTTACTCTATTTAAATCTCTTGGTTTTCTAAACTTTTCTTGAAGTCTTAATTTTCTTATTTGATTCCTCCTTTGTGAAATCTCAATTTTTTTATTCGAAAATAATTATCGTTTCGTTACGACTTAATTTTTTTTCAAGTATTGCTTCCAACTTATCAAAGAAAAGAATATAATTGGCATAACAAATTGTGGATCAAATAAGGAATTTAGATGATGAAAGTAATGATAGTCTCTATGCTAGTTAAGTCATCAATTATCCGCAGTGCAGTTGAAGATGGTAAATAATAATCAGGCTGCTTCTAGATTAACATAATTAAAGAAGGGAAAATGGGTCTTAGGAAGTGGACGAGAAGGAAAGGAGCGAGTAACGTAACATGGGCAAAGCAATCTTAACCATCCAATCCAATGTTAATAGCTTTGATCTAAGACGTGTGTGATCGAGTAGGTGGAATGGCAATTACAACTTTGCCGTTTGTATTAATAGAGGGGAGGAAGATAAGCAAGAGTGGTAGAGGGAAGTTGTTTTCTATAGTCTAAAGGGGGCTGGGACAACACTTGAGACCTGTGACCTTGAGCTTTTTTGGATCACATGACTGTCATTGTTTTTCTAGTTTTACCTGCAAATCTCAATCTATTTCTAACCAAGAGTTACCAATAATGTGGTTGCAATAAAAGAGATTGTTGATGCCACTATTTGACTCACTTAATACCCCACTACTTCACATTATCATATGGATCATGGCTGTGGATGCGGTCATTTTCAAAACGGACAAGTACAGGTTGTTCAATGATTCCCTACCCAGAAGCGGTTCCGATGGGTTGGAGTTTTCTGCTCTCCACCCATTTTATAGGTCTGGTCTAGTCTAGTCTAGCTAGTAGCTGCCAGCAATTTGTCCATTCTCTTGTTGAGGGATTAAGCGACTGGAACAAACGACTAAGTAACCAATGGATCAAGTGAGAGGTGGGGAAAACGACACTCGAACTTTTGAAGACTGTTGTCGAGATTGTTGGAGTTCGCATGTTGTGATATTTTGATGATTTTGTCCGCATGGAAGCAAATAAGATTGCTGATGTATTGATTCAAAACGTACGTTCTTTGGATACTTCATTGATTATGGATGTTAGACCAATCAAACTTCAGGATGGGTCTCCAAACTTGGCCATTTTTTTTTCTTTTTTATTGATCATGAATTTTGGAACCATTGGCCATCTTTCTTCAATAAAATTTTAACAAGAGTGCAAATTAACATCTGAACTAAAAAAAAAAATTAAAAAAAAAAATCCCCCAAAAGCTAGTGGAGATTATTGATCATGTGTTGTTCCAAAAGTTTAAAGTTTGGTTTGATTATTAAAAAAGAAACATCTAGAATAAGAATATAGAAATGGAAATGAAATGATTTTTATTTCAATTCCATATTTAGAATAATAATAAAAAATAAAAATAAAATTTAAAATTTTTAATATCTATTAAAACAAATAAAAATATAATTAAAAAATAATTTCATCAATTATGATGATAGTAAAAATAATAAAGATAATTATTGTGAAAGAAGAATAGTGACGATGGTAGTATAATAAAAATTATATTAGTGGAGAAGAAGGAGAAGTGGAGACAAAATAATAATAACAATCAATTAATTTTAGAATTTTTTTAACACCACTACCAATAATAAAAGTGGTGGTGTCAATGGTGAATGTGGTAGAAATAATTGATATACAATAAATAAAAATAATATATTATTATTTTGAAAAAAATAAAAATTGATTCACATTCATTGTTTTATTCTCATTTTTTTTATAAAAATAAAACTATATTTAATTTTTATTTCTATTATCACTCATCATTCTCTCTCTCTCATAGTTGCTATTGCGAAGATAACAAGAGGAAAAAATATAAGCAAAATTGATTGATTTAGAATTGATTCTTACATACTTATAATCGTCTTATTCCTTTCACATGGAAAATCAATATGAATAAAAGAATTTATGTAAATTTGATGTTTGATATACAAAAACTAAGCCTCTTCTTCTTCTTCTCCTAAGGCCATATTTAAACAACTGTTATCCAACGGTATACATGACGAGCTAGACTATATCATTGATCAAACGCCTATGTCGATTGTAATGCTTCTCCAAGAGTACTTTTGAGGCTCCTTCTAAAGTCTTGCGCCATCTCTACATTGTAAGAAATTGTAATCAGTAAAATAAGCACGTGGATTAAAATTTGAATTAACACTAATTAAAATCTATAACTTTCACACAAAAAAATAATAATGTAAACTAAACATGTGGATTAGAATTTGAACTAACACTAAGTAAAATCTATAATTTTCAAAAAAAAAAAAAAAAAAAAAAAAAAAAGCCTAAAAACGAATGACTAGATGTGAATAATAGAAGGTCTCACCTTTTCAATGGAAGCCAAGATTGACTTGTTCTTAATATCCCTTGCTTTAAGCTGTGACCTTCCTATCCCAAGTTTCCTAAGCACTACAGATTTTCTTGCCACTGGAGGAAGAAGTGACCTACTCTCCACTAAGCTAGAACTTGAATTATAATGTGATGGACTTTCACATGAATTACCACTTTCAAGATCCCTTCTTGTCCTCCTCCTTTTCCTCCTTTTTAACACCCTTGCCAACTCCAATTTCTCAGCCTCGTCATCATCACTCATTTCTGCAAATTTCCTTAGCAACTCATCTGAAGATTTCTTGGTTACATGTTGAACTGTAGTACTAGTAGATTCACTATAAGCAGTGTCCATTTTGGAGAGAGAGAGAGAGAGAACGAGGGTTTTGGTGCGGTTGAGAGATAGAGAGGAAATGTGTATATATGGAGGAGCTGGTTTTGTAGGGTAGTGACTTTGGGGTCATGCGAGAAATGGACCGTTGAAGCAGAGGAATGATTTGAATATGGAAATAACAAATATAGCCGTTAGAGGAGGGAATAATAATGGAGTTAATCGAACAATATTGGCATTGACATGTGATTTACTGCATGACAATGATGAGATTCACATTATTTCCAACTTGAGTAGAAATGCGCGCCACCCACGTTCTTACCGAGAAATTGTCAGTAGCAACTTCTTTTATTGTTCTTGAAGGAAATATATAAATAAGAATTAGATTGAATTGAGCCCATGATGGGCTTTGAGTTATGGGCTTGCTTACAGGAATTTTAAGGTCCACCCAATTGATTTATCAAATACTAATAAAGCTGATTCATGGACAATTCCATGCAAATGACGCTGACATAAATATGCCGATGCCAACAACATTTTGTCGGTAAACTGCTTTGAGCGGAGAAAAGGGCTCATGGACCACTAGCTCCTATCCATGGCTACAGAAGTTGTATAACGATCAACTAGACCTAAGCAGCTTAAATCCAACCTCAAAAGGGGAGATTTACGAAACTACAACTATAATAATGAAGCGCAACGGTGACCGCAAAACAACAAAGCTTGGACAATGACAATGCCAATTCTATTCCGTTCTGGTCCCGCAAAAGCGTCCATGAAATCTTAAGCTCAGAGAAGTTGAACTACGTTTTAAAATGTACAAGACCTACAATTCACAGAGGCCTACCAAAATTACGAAACATCCTGCGAGAAAGAAACACCGTCTCAGGCAGCTGGAAAACCAGTCTGCTGGAAGATGCAAAGCTTCTGAGGAGATCATGTACGGTCCAATCAATCTACTCGTAGCAGTTAATTTACCTTTCTCCACTCCAGATCAGGCTTCAGATATAGTTCATTAGGCAATAAAAGAGTTCTGGCAGTTGTAGTCCCTCAAGCAACACAAATTATCATACATCATAGGTCGTTTTTATGCGCTGATTTGAGTACCAAAACTGAGAGTGTGGCATTCCAGATTTCTCAGGTTAAGCTGCAAATTGTACAAAAATTACAGTTATTGGCAAATATTGTCAAAAGAGAAAAAATAGAAGAGAAGAAAAAGGACAAACTTTGTGCTCCCTGTTTCATGACTCTAAGTCATGAAACTACTTTGTGCCCATTTCTAAAACTTAATCTGTCTTATCATTCTTTGGTAATCAGAGTCTGCGCTCAAGCAGAACGACAATGTAATATACTTTCACATATCTAATCTAGAGTCATTTTAACACTGTTAGTAGCAGAATGTAATAGTATTAGCCAAGCAACCCTGATAATTTTAGGATTCCTAATTCTCCCACTAAATCCATCTGTCTCTTGCTTTCATCTTTCTGATAAACTTTGTCGAGTAAACAAAGATAAAGCAACTTAACAATCCTCAAAGATAGGTTGAATTATTAAATGATTCTATCTTTCAGTGGCAATAACATCAAGCAATAGATCATCTTTAAAAAAGAAGATTTAACAGAAGTGTTTTTCATTTTTTTCCCCTAAAAAAATAATATTTTAACATGGATGGAAATGGTACCAAAGGATCTAAAACCTCTTGATGTTGGGCAGAATTTGGTTTGTGATCAAGTTGAATGCCATAGAAGATCCATATAGCTGACCACAACTAGTTTGCAATCGAGGATTTGTTGTTGTTGTAAATGAAAATAATATGTAGAAACAAATGATAAGAAAATCAGGAAGAGGAGCTATTACATATCCTCAAATCCAGGAAACGAACAAATGCAAGAGATGAATCCACGAGTAAACATGCATGCTAAAAGCTTGTGTAATACAACTTCAGGTTTGGTTGTTTCAGATCCTTGAATAACTTTGAGCATCATAATAACTTACCACAACTGCAATTCCAGTATCACAGAATTTAGGAATGGAAATAAGTCTCACCAACTGCCCCTCTGAACCTGCAATTTAATTCACCATTAAATATAATTGTAACTTTAAAAAAAAATTCAACTACAAATTAGATCTGTTTTGCCTTATTTGGTAAGTATGAGTTTATGAGAGAATACCCTTTAAAATGCGTGTTCCATATTTATCTTGGTTACCAACAAAGTAAACATGAGGACAGCTCTCAATCAGGAAAGGATCCCTATCAGTGAAAGGATAACACCCTGAAAGACATTGATGAGAGCAGACTCTTGAACTTGGACCTCATGAAAAAAATCAGAATTTTAATTACAAGTATTCCTGATATCTTTGTTTCAATATATCGTGTTGTCTAAGTTTTCAAACAATCAAGCTAACATGAGAAAAATGAAAAATGAATTGCCAATATTTACGCAGGTGATTCATAAAAATTTAGCATAACAGGTGTTTCTACCGAGTGTGTTAGGTGTTGTTGGGGCCAAATGCCTCCACTTTAATGTTCTTTCCATAAATTCAAGCTCATCCCTTGCCTCTGAATACTTTTTAAGATCATCAATGTTCTGACCTGATGTTCCAAGAAACCTGAAAAGGACCAAGAAAAAAAAAGACATTGTCAAAATGCATCTAATTATCACAACTCACTGTTGAATTATGTGCTGATTTCTTACCTGACACCATCAAGCTCAAAACAATGAGGATTGGTACACGACCTAAAAGTGTTATATACTCTGGATCCAGGGAAAAGCCATCTGCTCAATGGCTGAAAAGAAATGAATAGAGAAAAAATCTGATAAGTTGAAGTTAGGATGCATATATTCCCAAAAGAAGGAAAAAGATAAAGAAAGGGTAAACCTGTTGAGGTAAAGAAAAGTTTGCTGGATCACTGGATCCTGGCATGATATCCACAGACACGCCTGCAGCAATCTAAACAGAGGCGTTAAACAATGGACCATGACAAGCAGATCCAAAAGAAAGACAAAACAAGAGAAAATAAGGTAACTAAAAGTTATTAGTCAAAATATTGAAAACAACCTGAGTCAACAAGATATCCAGCTCTTGAACTGGCTCAGAAAGCCTAGATTGATCCTTTGAAGCTAAATTCTGCCAAAATGACCAACGGACAAAACATTGTTATCTTGTTTAGGTGACATGACATCATGTAGGATGTTCAATTCCGAGAAAATATCCCACTAAATATTTGAGCCCATGACTTGAATTATCTGCATAAGTTGTTAATTCTCATAGTAGCTGATTGGTATATTTCTCTCTCCTTCTCCGGGTATAGATATTTCATTCAGGTTTAATCAATGTTGCAAAAATAGCATCAGGGAAGCTACTCTCATATCTAAGCAGAGCATTAGCTTTCACTTTTGCACAATTTCACAGAGGGAAAAAGAATGAAGATAATAACACAAAGCATCATATGAAAAGATGAGACTAAATTGAAAAGAAAAACTTCAGAATTGAATACAAACAAAGGCAACAGGAAAGATATTAAACTGTTACCTGTCCATTTAGAAGACCAGGGGGAATTTCCACTGAATTACCTGCAATCACAACATGAACTATCTCTGCCGCAATACCCTGTTCCTGTTCAGTTAAAGAGTTTAAGCAAGTAAGATAAGCAGCAGAACAGCCTTTAGAAGAAAAAAAGAAAAAGAAGGAAAATGTAAAAACCTTTTCATCTCCCAGATGTCCTGTTATATGATCCACAAGAAGCTGAAATTGGAGAGGGTTTGATGTGCTGCTCCCAACATTCACCCCTGACACAAAGACGACATACCTGTCTTCTTCTGTGTATAATTGCAATTTAATTCTTTAAGCCAATACTACAGAAGTGCCAAGTCTGAAAGACAATTTGACATATGAAGAAAAATAAAAGGACAGGCTCCCAGAAGATAACATGGCAAATGGAGTCCAGATATCAAACTTACTTATGGATAGAGTCTACACTATCGAAATGGACATTAAGTGATTCACCTACAACAGGTGCAACTTGAAATTCACATTTGAAGTTTCAACAGATAAGTAGATGTTCGGTCCTCATTTTTATGATCTTTCAGTCATATTTTGTAAAACTAAACCAAATGCATTTTCCATATGTTACAATCCCAAGCAACAAAAACTCCATGCTAATTCCTATATACTTTTGTCTACATAATTTTTTTTTCATTAAGTTTAAAATTTATCTTTCAGTTCTATGAACTTGTTTTAATTCCAAAGCACACGTAGATGACAAAGTAGATGAATACATCTTCAAGAAAACTTAATGAATAAGGATTTATAACCAAGAAGCAGAAAGATCTGTATATATTCAATCCAGGTAGTAAAACCATGAATATGGATGCCAGAAATATAAATTGCATCATACTTGATTTCAGTTGGCGATCTATCTGTGGTGCTAAACCAGCTTCAAGGACATCTAGAACCAAAAAGTCGCCGGCGCTAGTTTCCTTTCCATGCAAAGCAACAACAACACCTATCAAATGCATCGCGTCAATGCGAAAAGTATGTGTGACAAAGAAGATATTCAAAATTATATTGCTCAACAAGTTGTGGAAAAAAATATTTCCATGAGAAATTTCCTACCTTAGTCATCCACACAATTTCAGTCCAACCACAGATTCATGGTTAAAAACAAAAGTTTGAGGAGCAGGAAATTATTATTGCAGGATTTTCATGTCAAAAGCAGACAATGCTTCATAAAAACATGAATGCAACAACCAGAAGAACAGTGATCAACCAGCCATTAGCAATTTGTCGTTAAAAAAAAGAAAAAATTTGTGCCTCTCTAATAGCTGCCAACAAACTGCACTCAATCTCAAAAGAGTTTATTATTTCTTGTACATGAGAGATACCAGTGACATATGCTGAAGGTGAAAGCATGGTGCCGCCAAGCTTAACTCTTCCACTTTCATCTTCCAAAACCAAATGATCATCCGGATGCATAAAGTTATGAAGCTTGACAAGAGGCACTGCAGATCTCTGCACATTGCTCTCAAGTTTAAAAAAATCAACACCCTTGCAACCTAGAATTTCTTGCTCAATTTCAAGGAAAAAAAAATATAGAAGTAACAACATCAAGGAATTCATTATTAACAACCAAATACCTCCTTAGAGTATTCATCAAGAATGCATGGTTTAAGTTTCATGTGCTTGTACAGGGTTCCGACAATTATGCATTCCTTGCCTTCTTCCAATCCCAAAATCGTACAAACTACAACAAAAAGGAAGCTGGCCAATAAACACTACTCATGCAAATTATAACCATATCACATTATCACATCGTTAAAAATCCAAACTACCTACATCCAGGACCCTTGCAAAAGAGGGAAAAAAAGAAATTTGAAAAATACACCAATCAGGAAATTTACCAACGCCATTTGCAAAAAAATATTAAATTTCCAAAAAAAAAAAAAAGAAGAAGAAGAAGAAGAATCTATGAAATAAACCAACCAAAACCGAAAAAAAAAACACAAATGCCAAAACTCTAAGCCCTACACACCACCATAACTTACAAATCCCCTCTTACATACCAACCAGTCAGCAAAATAATAAGACACTCACATAAAAGATCACCACAAAGACCCCAATTTTACTCTAAAAAATAACAATTCCAGAAATTACTCCTCCCCCGCTTCCAAAATTAGAACATTAAAGGCCATAATTTAATTAAGATAAAAACACAAACAAATCAAAACCCACGTACCCGCATCAAACAAAAATGCAAACTTAAACTTCAATTCAAGAAAGAAAAAACACAGAAAGAAAGATAAGAGAAGGACCTGGGATATGGGGTTTCCAATGGGTAACAAGAGAGTAAAGCATAGTTCTCATTATGTGAAGACGAACAAAGTATATTTGACTGTATTGCTGACCTCTATAGGTCTCATTTTGAATCTCAAATGTCTCATCCTGCAATTTTAGCAATTATGAGTTAACACTTAAAGAGTAAAACAAAACAAAAAGAAAGAAACATTTAAGCTCTATTGATATTTTTGGACATAAAAGAAACTAAAGGAGAATGAGAAAGAGATAACGGGAGATGGTTACCAGGGATTGGTAAGTAGATTGCTTTCTCTGCAGATTTTTCTCTGTGTCGATTTCCATTGCAGTCATGGCGGAAAAACAGAAACAACTAGCGGCAGCAGCCAGCGCTTTCACTCGGTTTCCCCTCCATCAGCTGGTGTTGCAAGTGTGTGCTTCACAACTAGTAAGTTCAAGTATTTTAATTATTACTGAGATATGCAACCAAATGGGGATGTAGCTCAAATGGTAGAGCGCTCGCTTTGCATGCGAGAGGCACGGGGTTCGATCCCCCGCATCTCCAGTTTTTCTTTCTAGTTTTCTTAACTTCATTTATTTGTATATATTGATGATTTTGAGAATGGTTTCTGAAGTATAAGCCTCCGCGTCCATTAAGCTTGGCCGTATCCGCATGTAAGATTATAAATGGATCGGATTTTAATTTAAATTCAATATAATTAAATAAATATGTTACATAATTGTTTTGATTCGAGTCTATTATGATTTGAATTTATTAATTTGAATATTAAATGAATAAATTTTAAATTTTTTTTATTCGATTCGAAATTAAAAATAATATTTTTATAATAAATATAATATTTTTTTAAATAGTAAAAAATAAATATAAAAATAGGTTGAAATTTAGAGTTAATTTTATTATAAAGTTCAAATAACACATGGTCTTCAATTATGACGACTGTATTTTTAAAAAATCACATATAAATTTCTTATAATTTTCTTAATTTAATTTTGTGAAAAATTATAAATTGACTTATATATATTTTTAAGACTAAATGTTATTATATTTATCATCACTCTATTTTTGTTGCCATGTGGACAAAAAATAAAAATTATTTATTATTTATTTATTTTAGTTTTATACTTTTTACCTAGTTTAAAATAAAATTTTATTAAGATTATTTGATTTTGTATTTTTGACTTGTGTGACATTAATAAATAAAATATTATCTTAGTATATTTTATTATACATGTAGTGATTAAAAAATATTTTATATTCGAACAATATATGAAATATAATAATTATAAATTTTTTATAAAAATCAAGTGATAAATCTAATGGAACTTTGATTCGTTAAGATCCGAATTCAATTTCACATTTTCAAAACTCAATCCGAATATGTAAGATCCGATTCAATCCATTTGATTAAATAAATCAGATTTAGATTTAGTACGATCTTATCCGAATACGAATCGATAAAAGTCTCAACCATGTGGATGTATTTAAATATCCATGGACGCAAGATTTAAAAAAAAAATATTTCATTCTGTTATGAAATCGAAATGGGTGGTATTTTGATGAGGTTTTGTATTCAAATATAAAATATTAAAAATATTGATTGGTTTGTTAGTATACTGTTATATATATATATATATATTGTAATGATGAAAACTTAAATTTATTTTACCAAATAAACAGTTAATTTTCACTCTTTTCATACTTAACCATCTAATGAATTCGATCTGCTTCTCTTCCCACTCTTTTTTATTATTTTTTTTTTGCGCTCTCTCTTCTCTATCATCTCTTAATCTTATGCTCATCAAGCATACTAGCACCCTCACGTTTCTTTTTATCTTCGTTGCTTCTCTCTCTGCCACCTATATGTCACGAACTTGGTCTTTCTTAAGCTCACGTGTAATACTTGGCTCTCTTCTTCTCTAAGAAAAACCAAGTCAGCCTTCCTCACACAAAATTGCTAAGCAAGAAAGACACACACAAGAGATATAAAAACTCTTTTGTATTGCTTTTTAAAGCTTACAACTCTAAAAATACACTCTTTTAAGTTTGTGGATGTCTAGCTGTCTTGGCCAAGTGAAGGCCTCACCTATTTATAGCCTTCCACCTCCTCAATAGATGGCTAGGATCTATTTAATCTAATGGCTATAATTGTTTATCTAGAAATATCATATCTAAATATTTACAAAGAATTATCTAGATATGTACATGTTAGATTAGTGAGGGACTCTTTAGAATTCTCCGAACATGTCTAGATTTCTCTAGATTATCCTAGAGACTTCTTCAATGCTCCATACTCTTCAGAAGTTTCCAGCCTTATCTAGAGGCTTCTCTATTGCTTTATAATCTTCTAGAAGCTTTTAAATTCATTTAGTGTTCTATAGAAAAATCTCTCTTTTAGGCGGAGCGTAACATACAGACTTCCATTGCCACCATTGATAATAGCCACGACCCGCTTCACAAAGCATCAACAAATTATTGGATAAACTGAAATCAATGACACGCATGCAAATTAATTTTAATTGGTTAAAGAATGATGTTATTACTAAGTGTTTTTTGGTTCGATTTTGCAATTTTTTAAAAAAATATATGTTTGATTGTTTTGCAAGTGGCATGATTTGAATAATGGATTGAAGTGTGATAATTTCATCTGAACAATTTAAGCTATTGGTTAATCTTCAATCAAAGCACTTGCAGTGTTTGAATTAAGTTATTTTCATTGATGCTGTATACAAATAACAAACATTTTTATAAGTTGAAAAAATTCTTAATCAAGATAGGAACTTGTCTTGTCGTGTAGGTCTACTGATCTTTTTCTTTTTTTCTACGTTTACATTTATTTCATTGGTTCTGACCTTATAACTTAATTGTACCGGCTCTTGCTTTTTCATTCAAAGAGTCTCAACAAACGACATGTCGCCCATTTGTCACGCTATTTAGTGCTCTCCGCTCAACATGTCGTCCATTATGCTTGCCTTTCTTCTCCTAGTAAAATACTTAATCCTAGTAGTTTTAAAAAATTAATGAGTTACTCCTTTTGGTTCAAAAACTTTATATTAAATCTCTACTTGTTGACACCTAAAAACCACATATTGTTCAAGGAAGGCTCATTTGATGAGAAGTATTGAAATGCATCTTAACTGCATGATAAAATATCATAAACGTCAAAAATTATGAATGTTGTCATGAAATTAAAGTGTTATCCCATAATAAAAAAGATAGGAATGCTGATAGTTTTTATGGCGTCATTATTTTTCTTTTCCTCATAAATAAATCTTCTAATGACATTGAAGGTTTTGTTTAGAATCAATGACATAGGAATTAATCGAACTTGTGTTGAAACTTTTTGAAATGGAATAATTTTTTAGAAAATTAGCAACATCGTATGGACTCAAAGAGAAAAGGTATTAATACAAGAAGCATTCTTGAAGTCCAATTACACTCAGATTGTGTTTGTTACAAGGGATGGATATAAGGAATGATGAACTGGGTGAGGTGGAAGTATATGGTGGAGAAAACAAGGGTGAACATTCAGTTTTCGGTTAACCAAAACTAAAAGAGGAAAAGAAAAAAAACTCTAATTTAATTATTATTCGATTTTTTACTTTTCAAAATCCACTAATCCACATCTAAAATGTATAATAATTAACAAGTATATTATAAATCAAATTATTAAAATTAAAATAGCAATCAAAAGTTCAATATATATATATATTAAAAATAAAATTGATTTTGGTTGAAAATTTCAAAAATCAAACCGAAACCGAAAAATTAAAATAAATTTTCTTTTAAAAAAAAAAACAAAAAACCAAACTGAAATTTGATTCGATTTGGTTTTTTCGTTTAAATCGAATACGATTTATCCTTAGACAAATGTATTATTATGAATCCAATTGTTTGGCTAACAAAAAAGGAAAATAATAAAAATCAATCATCCAATAGAGAGTATTGAAAATTATACATAAAAAGAAGAAGAAGAATGTGAGAATCAATCTGTCTAAATTGGAAAGATTGAAAAGTACACAAATAACAAAAGATTGAAAGGTACCTTTTAATAATTTATGGGCTTTCCCTCTGGAGCAAAGTAAATGCACAATCCCTTCCTCCTCCCAACTCATTCACACTTTCCTCGATTCCTCGTGACAAATACGCCTTCTTATTACTCAATTTATAAATCCTTAATATATATATATATATATATATAATTTGATTTGCCTTCTTAAGTTCTTTCCATTAGTTTGAGAGTAAATTATAAATTAGTCCTTTTCATTTAGAAAATCGAATTAATAAGTACATTTTCTTTGAAAACTAATCATGTAGTTTTTATATTTTAATTTCGTCAATAATTTAGTCATTTTATAAGTTTTTTTAGATTAATAATTTTTTTAACTAGATTGCTTTTTTTTTTTTTTTGGTTGAGGAGAAAAAAAGAAAGTGAGTGAATGAAAAATAATAATAAGGCAATAAAAGGATGAGAAATTTAGAAGAAAAAAAAAACTAATCTAATGAAAGACTTATGAAAGAATTAAACTATTGACAAAATTAAAATGCAAAAAACTAAAAAAAAAGAAGAAATAATTAATTTGTTTCTGTCAAGGAAAAAGACTAATTTATATTTTGCTCTCTGCTTTGGGCCCATTGCTTAGCAAAAGAAGAAAGTTTTCTTCCATATTTGCTATTCAATTTGGCTTATGCAAGGTTTAAAAAAAAAAAAAAAAGGAAAAGGAAAAGAAAAACTATCATTCTAATTTTATTTTTAAAAAAAAAAAAAACAATGTTTTCAGTAGAACTTTTTTTTTTTTTAATTTTCATCTCGTTTTTCTCCTGCTCTCTTCATCCCTATTTATTAGGAAGAAGACTTTTATTGGTTGTTGAAATTTTAAATTATTTTAAACAAAACTGTCTTTTAATTGCCTTAAATTAAGCAATGAATATGTGATAAAATACATATTATATGATTTTTATTTATTGTCTTTTGATATCATCTTTTAAATTTAGTTTATATACACATATATAAAAAGTTACACCAAAGATTCTTAGTTATCAAAGCATGACCTTCTTAGAAAACAAAATTATTTATACAAGATTCCTTGCATGATAATCTACAGTCTTATCGCACAAAGCAATTAGATACTTTTTTCTCAATTTTATTTTTTAGTCACATCATTGGATTTGACTGTTTTCAATTATCTGTCCTCTTATCATTTTAGTTTGGTATTTTTAATGCAAGTTCACTCATAAAATTTGGTAAGATAATATCAAGTAAACTACTTTTGCAGTCTGAAAAAACTAAAATATTTGTCTGATAAAAAAATTTAAATAATATATTTTTAAAATA